AAGAGGGTCGGCTGCATAAAGTGAGGAGGATACTGTCCGTAAGCCTGGGTAGGCACATACGGTACAGCTCCAATCATGTGAGGGCCAGAATGGACGGTATTACCGCCTGTCTGACTCTCATGCAAGGAAGATGCATTCCCGACAGAGGTGTTGTTGAAGCTGTCTGGAAAGTTCGACGTTGAAGCCGACTCAGACAGCGACTAGTTTCTCTTCCGGTTAATGATCTCCCGGGCATCAAGAGTTGATTTTTTACTTCTCACCGGCTGTTGAGTCCGGCAAGTGTTGGTATTCTTCCCAGGAAGGAGAATCCTTGACCAATCAATGGTCCCGGCTGCCTTCTCCTTTGGATGAGGAGTGGGCTGCCGGTTTCTGACTGACTTCCCCTTCTCCGGAGGAGTCTTCTTCGCCGACTGACCTTTACTTGGGCCAGCCCGGCTTTTGGTGATCAGCTCTTTAATTTCATTCTTGAAAAATGTCATGAATCTCATGAGTTCATTTCGGGTGACAGGGGCTGATCCAGCTGTCGTTTGGGTTTCCCCTTCTGGCTGCCCAGTGGATTTGCTTGGACCCGCCTGGGAGGCACCCCGCTCCAGAGTCTCTCTGGGCCGGATGCGCTTGATTCTGAGAGAGACATCTTCGGCTGTAAAGGTTTCAACCTGAGGATCTTCATCCTCCTTCTCTGTAAAAACTTCTGGGTCATCGCCTAGACGGTTAGAGGGTGGTACAGACTCTTGAACCATCTTAGAGGTACTCTCCCCACAGACGGCGCCAAATGTTTTGGGTGTGTTTGTCCCTCGGGAGAGTTACAACACGAAGACTGATCCGGGGTGAGCTATACCTGCGAAACAAACGGAGACACCAGTTGGGTGGTGCTCCGCCTCCAACGCACAAGTTAGAAACTTGAAGGGAGAAAAAGGTGCGAAAATTTAGGTAGGGATCTGCTCGGATTCCAAGCTCAGGATATCTCTATCAAAGAGTAAATGTGTAATAAATGATCAAAACGTGTCCTCAAAATGAGAGATATCTCCCTATTTATAGGGTCTTTGGGAAATGCCCCTGATTAGGTCACTGAACCCTAATCATTGGTGGGCTGCGCCGTTTTCCGGCGTTCTCGGGATTTGGGCCTGAAGGCCGCCTTTTCCCCTTTATTTCTGGAATGACACGTGTCAAGCAGGGATTGGTCCATTTTGGACCAATCTGAGGCTGACACGTCACCCTCTGATTGGGCCACGTGGCAGGGTAAAAATACCCTAAACAGTTAGTTTTTGCTTTTTATTTGATAATTAAATGAATAACAATCATCAAAATGAGAACAAAATCCCTCACGAATTCCATACACCCGGATGTATATAACAATCTCTCGACAAAAAGACATTGTACAACATGCTACTTGTAATATTTAGATGTCACGGAGTACATATGGTATGTGTATATCAACATTTTAGTACGTTAAATTTTGAGAATTATTTATGAAACTAATCTATTAAGAAAGTAAAGATTCAATAAAGGCCGAATTCTTGTTAGAAGAGCCATAATGCTCATCATCAACTTCATTCAGCTAACTTAGTGGCTAGGTGATCAAGCATGTTCACTTCAGCTTAATTTCAATTCAGTTTAGCTTTAATTAATTCAGTTCTGTTTAGCTCCAATCAATTCAGTTCAGTTTAACTTTGAATTTCCTTCTCTCATAAAATATTCATTTCAGCTCTATTCAGTTCAGTTTAGCTTTAATCAATTCAGTTCAGTTCAGCTCCGTAAATATGAAGACCCTAAGTATAAAATAAAAAAATAAAAAAAATAAAAAAAAATAAAAAAAAATAAAAAAAAAAACTGTCATTTTATCCCGGATATCATGCAGAAGCAAAAGATTTACGTAATAATTTGGTTTGTAATTGTCCCAGGACCAGATATTGATGATGTGATTTGCTTTTTTTTTTCAAATAAAGAAAGCCAAATACCCTATCACTTTCTTTCTTTCTTTCATTCAGACAAAAAGAAAGGATTTAAATATAATGTAAATGTTAATCTTACGTTAATTCACTTAAACAAATAATTCTAAGAATCACAACTATACCATCTATTCATTACTAATTAACAGTGCAAAGATAAACAATTAGGAATATTGTATAATATCTTTAAATTTCCTACTTATGTTAATATTTATCTTATTCCTAATCTTCTTAAGGTTAGGAATCTCTCTTGTGACTATATACTGTATATATATTCTTCACATATGAATGAGAAAGTTAGGCCCTGTTCTTTTGAAATTCTGAGAAGAGCAGAGCAGATTAAATTTCAACAGAGCAGAGTAGAGCATATTTCAGAATAGCCGAGCAGAGCAGATTTCAACATTATTATTAATACTATTATTAATATTATTATTATTATTAATGTTATTATTATTATTATTATTATATTAATTATTATCATAATTAATAATAGTAATTATAATTATTATTATTAATAATAATTAAAATTATTATTATTATTATTAATTATTATTACTTCCTGTGTTACACATTATGTGCAACAAAGAGGTGTACACATTTCCCAAGACAAAAAATTGAAAGGCATGATTAACAAAGTGGGGGGATGTAATTAGGGTAAAGTGGATGATTAATTAATTCATCCCACAAACCACCCACCAGGCCGCTAAACCGCCCACACCACCATCCACCTGGCCGCCCGACGTCCACCCCACCGAATAAAACCACCTCAACCACTGACCCACCACACCACCACCAAGATCCCAACATCCGCCCCGGCCACCTCGTAAACCACCAAGAAATTACCCATAACCAAATAAACACATCCAAAAAAACCTCACCCATCATCTCAAAATCGTCGTACCCGCCTTGAAATACCCATCTTCCCTCCCCAAATAATCGTACCCACTCCAAAACCACCACCTTCAACCGGAAAAATCGAACACCATGAATTCCGCCCCCTATAAAAAAAAACAATCCTAATAATGCAAAAGAAAAACCATTACCTTCTCTATCATCAATTAAAGCTTAATTTGGTCAAATTTAACCATTAAAATTCTAGATCTATAATTTTCATGGTTAAATTTGACCAAAGTAAGCTTCAAATTTGAGCTTTAGTGACAAGAATGAAACAAAAGGAGAAGAAAGAGAGAGAAAGTGGAGACGGCGACAAGCATGACAGAGGCGGCGACTTCCGACGAAGGTGGTGGTTGAATTTGAGGGGAGATGAACAAAGAAAGGGGAGATCGGTGCGGTGGTAGTGGTAGTGGTGGTGGCGGTTGAGTGGTGATAGTGGACTGGTGGTGGTGGTGATGTTAGCCATTGAAGGTGATGGTTGAAGGAGGTGGTGAGAAATAAGTGAGAATAAAACTACTGGGGGTTGATTGGGGTTGGAAGGTTGGATATGATTAGTTTAGGGTTGAATTAGGTAAAAATCATTAGATTAATTTGAGTTATTAATAACTTAATAATATTTGCTTTAATGTGTTAATTGAATTTTAGTAAAGGCATGTTGGTAATTTTATTTTAAAAAGTTTACTAAAATAGGAAAGTTTCATTTTGTTGCACATAATGTGTAACTTTCGTTTTAGAAAATGTTGCACATAATGCGTAACGGAGAAAGTATTATTACTATTAATTATTAAAATTATTATTATTATTATTAATTATTAAAATTATTTTTAATATTAATAATTATTATAATTATTCTAAATAATAAATTATTATCATCAATACAATATTAATTATTATTATTATTGAATATTAATTATTGTTGTTATTATTAATTATTATTTGAAAATTAAGCAAAGCAGAATAGAGCAGATCAGATTTGATTTGAGCAGAGCAGCTCTAAAGAACGGGGCCTTAAGCTGTTTAATCTAATTTGTCAAATAGCCCTTTATATACACATGATGCATGCTTGATAGTAAAGTATATGTAATTACCATTAGTAAAATATTGATGTTTAATATTGTAGAACAAATAGCTGAGCTAGGTAAGTACTTCTTTTCTAGTTGCAGTTACACTAACGAAGTCACGACTTCCTAGACGAAACTCTGATGAGAAGAAAAATTACACTATTATCACAAATGTTAGTTAAAAGCTTTTTCAAAATATATTTTTTTAAAAAAAAAATCTATATAGATTCAATTTGTCAATTGTCATCATTGTCTATGGTGACCTGTAGACATATGAACATATAAAAATGGCAGCAGATCTTAGACTCGACAAATGTAAGTCGGATTCGGGTCCTTTTTGGAGAAAAACGGATCTGAGCACAAGCCTAATAGTATTGCGTTTACCCTCAAAAGTTAGAACTTGAACATACTTTGATGAAGTAAGATGCAGTTTTATCATTACCTTGATTTTATTTTTTTTTAAATCTAGATTATACTCGGATATGCTTTTTCATAATCGTTCTTCTATGCATGAATAGCATGATCAGTACAAGCTGCCCAACATGACAAAATCACTTGATTAGGAAAGTAAACATTCTAATAAATGGGACAGGCCAAGATATTAGGAATATATGTACACAAAGTTTCAATCACATTATACAATGTAATATCACTCCAATTGGGCTCAAATCCAAAAAATAAGTATCCAAAAACAACCATGAAGACTCTAAAGCCATAGACTTTGTTCAACCACCACCATGTGCATGTAGTCATGTTACTCATGTAGATATGAAACTGACATTGGTTTTTTTATCTTCCACCTGCCTTGTACACAGAAAACCATCAATATATGCTACGGATAATGCAGTTACCAAGCAAATCTTTGTAGAGTTGGTGGGAACTAAGAACTCACTTTGTGACTTTGAGGTCACGAGTTCGAGCCCCACCAACTACATTTGCTTGGGAGTAGGGGTCTAGGGGATTCCCTTACCTCCCTTCTACTTTCAAGCATTGACCTACGTAATTGGGTTGGTCTTACTTGTGAAAGGCGTCGGTTCGGTAGGGTCCTTCATCTTATCTTATCAAAAAAAAAAACATAGATTATAACACCACACAGTAGTTTGCACTATCCAATCCCTCTACAACTCTGAATCCCTAATCCAAGTTGGTCATAGGATACAAAGTTTAGCATTGATTATAACACCGCACAGTGATATTATCAACATGACAGCAATGTTCTATTATGGAAATCACAACTGTACCTGCCGAAATGGAAAAATAAATCCTTGCAGAAAATCCCATCACTTACATTAGAGCACAAGTGACCATTATAGATTGAGTATTCAAGATAACTGCTCAAGTTGCGCCATGAAGCACATTCATCTAGAGGCAAACATGTTACTTCTCCATCACTGACTTTACAGAGTTCATCCAACGAATGTGTTCAGCCTTCTCTTTATAATTTACATAGTTGTGCAAGAAAACACAAAGTGTATCGTCTATCTGCCTTTCTTCCAAGAATTCATACAGTGAATTTTGTAGCTCATCATCCAGCTCCCTAAAAACAAAAAATGTAGGTGCAAGGAAGAATAAGCAAAAATAGCTCATGGGAAGAAACTATCAGATGAGAAAAAATGAAAAAATCACAAGTTTTTCAGCAGATCGATAATGCTAAACAAGAAAGTAACTGCCACAAGTAATTGCCTTAATTTATATGAAAGCTACATTGAAGCTTCAATAAAAGGGAAACTCAAAACATTTGTACGAGACTTATTTCCAAATAAGCGTATAACAATTTTGTATCCTTTAATCTCATGAGATAAGCAAATCAACCAAAAAAACAACTAGATTAGCAGAACATCACTACCTGAATTTAGGACCGGTATAAGGGTTAAGTGGCACCTTAGCCTGCTGACGCACAAAAAGTTTAGAGATTGCTATAGTGTCAGGCCAAGCAGAGCAGACGAACTCGAGGACTTGGTTAGAGTTGTTCTTGAAAATACTAACTATCATCGATATATGCAATTGAACATCCTGGCCAGGCAGACCAGGTTTCTCACCCTGGTTAGGAACGTGGACTGAACCATCAAACATAGTGACTTCGAGTTTAATCACTTCATTCTCTCCAAATTGTTTTTCCAAGCTAATCCAATGCTCACCAGGCCGCTCATCCACCTTGAATCCATTGATCTCAGAAGGTGGCTGTGAAAAGAAACATGAAAAAATCCATACAACAGCAGAGAATAGAAGAATTCTAAAGAGTGAAGGTAAATTATTTATTCACAGAAAACGAATTAAGCTTCTTCCACAATCTAAAAGGTGTTATTGACATTGACAATATAAACAATTTCGTCTATTAAAGATACTTACTTGGTATGTATAATTAGATGTTAGCAAATCCATCAATGTACATATTTAATCCATTAATAGATGGATTTGCATACTAATCCCGATAATTAATAAACTTGAAAAATAATGCATTTAAAGGGAAAAAAAAAACCTGTTGGAGAGGGGAACGATCAACTTCATATTGAATCTCATTGCGGAGAAGTCGTAAGGTATTTGCATCAATGCTCGACTTTCTCATTTGGGTGACATAACTGCTGCTGCTTCTTCTTACACAACCAGGACTCAGATTTGAGGAAGCCATTTTCTGGGTTTCAAACATTAATACTTTTTGGAGCAATTGAATTGCTCTTGCTCGTCCTATCATTTCTTCCCAGGTATTTGTTTTTGGGGGTTTTTCGGGGGTTTTAGGGTTCTAAGCTTTTTTGAAGGGAGGGTTCTAAGCTTCTAAAGCCAAAAAACAATAACTTTCAACGAGATACACACTTTGGGACATTTTCATTAAATTCCTCAAAAAATCATTAATTTTACCTTATATAAAAACGCTAATTCACCTCATGAAAAATTGGATTTTTACATAACGCAAAACCGCTAATTCAACGCATGTTTGACATTGTTTTTGTTTTCAGTTTGTTGATATCTTGAAAACAAAAAAACCAAAAAAAGAAAACACGAAAAAAGATGTTTTTAAAATTTTGAAAACAAAAAAACAGAAATCCACAGTGATAAAACCCTAGCAATTAACCCTTTATTAATCATGTTTAACCCATGGCAGGAAAATCAAGACGTTTCTGGACACGTAAAACAAGATGTTTATGATATTCTTTCAAAACCTTAAGGAATAAAATCGAACAATTTTCTAGACACATAAATTGAGACGATTTTTGAGTAAGCAAACCAATGTCTAGTAAATTTGTCATTTTTAACCTCTAATTGGACTCTTAAGAACCAAAATTACCCCTAAAATTCTAATAGATAAATTTTCTTACTACGCATTTTGAGACGATTTTGGACATGCAACTGAAGCATTCATGGGTTGTTTATTTTATTTTTTATTTTTATCTATTTTGACCTCAATTGAATCCACAAGGATCAAAATGAGTCCTTAAGTTGAACTAGATGATTTTCGGGCATGCAAATCGAGTTAAATTGGTTAAAGAAATGATTGACAAATGGCAAGCGTGTATAATCAAAATTGGAAGATCAATTGTGAAACAAAGGGAGTATAAGTTTTTAATATTCTTTTACTAATATTTAAATTATATACAAAGTATATATTTAAAGTCTTTCTTTATTTCGGAAAATTCCCATTAGTACTGTGGTATTGATTTCTCTCATTGATACAAACTTGAAGTTTTGTCTTCTCATTGGTACACATGTGCTTTTTTTCAACTGTGGCTAACACCGTAAAAAACTATTAAATAAAGTTAGCTAATTAGGAAAAAGACTATAATACCCCTTATAAACATCTAATGTCTCATATGCGTGTCAAGAAATGTGTCAATTTTCGTGCTATAACTGTTCGATTATGGTTTTAGGGGTCATAGTGGCCCTTTATGGGTCAAAGGCCCTGTTTAGTTCGCCTTATATGTGCTTATCTGAAATTATCTGACCTGACCAAATCTGATTGTCTAATTAGACCAAACTTTGACCTTGAATGTACAATAATCTATAAAGAAAAAATATATCAATTGAATCTTGTTAGCTTCGTAATAATGGGTTTATTATTAATAATTAGTTTTCATAATTTTTTTTCTTTACGAAATTAAAAATATTTAGCGGTAAAAAACTGCACATAAAATGATAATCTGATCTAAACTTATTTTTTCTGATCTGATCTAAACTAAACTTATTTTTTCTTGTCTGAACCTATTTTTTCAATATAAGTAAAAATAGAATGAACTAAACAGGGCCTAAATCAAACTCGAAATTGTCAAAAACAATTATGGTAGATAGGATGGATAGGCGCTCGTCTAAAAAAAAAATATATATATATATATACTACCTTCGGTTCTTATTACTCGCAAAAAAGGAGTATTATTTGTGAGACATAAAATATTCCTTTGTTGCGAGTGATTTGAACCGGAGGTAGTAAATAGGATGGATAGGAGATATTGATAGGATGGAAAGAGATAGGGGCAGAGGAAGTCCAAGGATTCAGGAAGGTCATGGAGGAATTCTCAAAGGAATCTTATCACCAAGAATTGCAACCATTTCAGCAATGATGCTAATTAGGCTCACTGGGAATTAACATCACAACTTGGGTCAATCGCCTTCCTTGAATTGGTACCTTCATTATTAGACTTGATAAAGTTAATTAGAGATTCCTAAAACACATTAAATGCACAGGAATAATATGCAACTGTGTTACTCCAGAGAGGATAACAACGAAGAGGATCCAGCAGCATTGCAGAAAAGAAGAATCAACTTGTCAAAATATTCTGGGAGGACTCTAAGGAGGAGGGTAGCACTGTTGTAGTATGCATCAAGTGAAAGAGTAATGCTTTCAACCCATAATTATGTATCAAGATTAGTATTGCCATACGCAATTATGTAAAGACAATTCAAACTGCAACTACCAGCAGTCCAGCGCAGTGGACATCACCCTATTAACAACTGTATTAAGAAAAATGGGTTTGAAACATATAATTAAGAACCAAAGCACTATAAATGAAATAACTACTGAGAAAAAATTATTCAGCAAATACAACTTCACAAGAGTTAGTTAACAAATGGAACAATGATAAACCATCTATTACTGTGGTCTAAAAATGGTACCATAACGAATTCCGGCAACTCCACATACAAGTATAAGATCAAGAATTTTTACCAACTACCACGGTTGTCTTAGGATACCTCCATGAGAGGATAACAGTTGACTCTGACAGCAGTGACATTTGATGAGAGACATTGATTTAGGTTTGCTTTGCTTTCATCCAATCAACAAAGTTGTCCAGGATCAAAGGCCAAGCAAGGTCTGGATCATAATTGCTGAAGTCTGGGAAACTTATCTGACAAAATATCAGAGAACATAAGACCTTCTGATAAAGAATCTCTTCATAACGAATGCTCATAAAAGAAGCAGCAAAAATTGCATCTGGCACTTAAATTTTCAAAATCATCCACGACAACAGTGCAAGAAATTTAATGCTTAAAATCAAAACTAGGCACAAGATTAGAGAGATTCCAATACATAATGACAGGAATACATTTAACATACACACTCAACTCATTCTCACCAATAGGTGAAAAAGTAGCAAGTTGCCAGACCAAATCACCCAACCAAAGGCTAAAGAAATTAAAATTTAGAGAGCTCAGAAGAAAAGTGTAAAAACAAAAATTTGGAATTTCTACAGACTCAATTACAGCACTACAATCCAATTGGTAGTAAGAACTTCACTATTAACTACAATATCAGCACTAATGTCAGTAAGAGAAGATTAAACTATATCGGCACTAATGTCAGTAAGAGAAGATTAAACTATATCGGCACTAATGTCAGTAAGAGAAGATTAAAATAGAACATCATTATTAACTTTCTTGCTGCTTTTCAATAAACTATATAAATCCATATTCAGCAAAAGAACCATGGTGAAGTAGATTCTTAAAGGACAAAGCAACCTATGCAATGCAGAAATGAGTTTCTTTCTGGGAGAAGAACAACATTCTTGTACCATGTATAAGTTTTTTTTAAAAAAAAAACAATACAGCATTTAGGTTGTGCACTTGTGCCTCACTTCTCCCTACGTATCATGGAATGCAATCCATTCAAAAAAAATCACATACATTGGGCTCCATTTTTAACCAAATCATTATTATCATATAGACAACATAAATTTCATTGCATGAGGCATGGCAGGAGCTAAAAAAGGCAACATGTCAGTGTGTCCATTTTCAAACTATAGTTGAAAATCAGTATTCTTAGACTCTAATTTATATTGGATAAATTTAAACAGCTAATAAGTTGTTCACTTATTTTACTTATTGAAGCAGGCACAGAGTCATTACATTTCAGATCAAGGGTCAGGTGAAAAACTTTAGCAATAAAACAAATGGAAATCCAATCTACAAAAAAAAAAAAAAAAAAAAAAAAAAAAAAAAAAAAAAACCAACTCAATGTTGACCAGATTAAAGGATTATTGGACTCAAATGCAGGACAAATATCACCATACCTCATTGCAGAACCGGTAAAATCCCATCCACTGGTCCATGTTTATGACCTTGTAATCGGTCTGATCCTGAAGCACACACACGATCAAAATATTAATCCTTTTTCTTCTCTCATTGATTCAATTACCACTTTTAACTTAAGCATCAATCTTTACAGCAGAATTATTAGCAAGAATCCAGACCTTTGGTTGTTTTTCTTAAAATATACGTCAAATAGTATAGCTTAAATCAGGTAAGCTCCATATAAAGAAAACATTATGACTCCGCAAATTCAACAACCATTGCCTTATTTCTATTTGAGTGAACATTGCAAGAGCAGCTTTACATAGTATTCAAAACCACATGTTCAGTTAAACTGCTTACTTTCAGATATTCGATGAAATAGTCAACTTGGGCTCGAAATTGGGATCCTAATACAAGATCCAACAATTGACAGATGCTTTCAATATCTATACTCTTCTGTTTCTCCTCTGCAAAGCAGAAAATAAAGACTGTAATCGATGAAACACTAGATTATCAACTTCCTACATTTGAAAGGCTATCACATGACATGAAAGCAGCATACCTGTAAGACAATAATGGAATGCGTACTGATAGAAGTCCACAAAATTTGACGTCCTTCTAACCTTTTGAAAAGGAAGGTAAACAGTGAGCATAAGTCCATAAGACAATAGTAATATCTCAATTTTCTACCTCCCCCCTCTTGTTTGCACAGTTGGTGTGAAAGGAGAATCAAAGATAAACATACCTCTTTTTCAAGCTCAGGGAGTGTCTTCTTTAATTTTGCAATCGTATCAACCCTCAGAGCTTTAAGGCCTCTCCGCCACTCTTCCTGCAGAAAACATTGCTTTCAACTTTAAGGAGCACATAAAGCATATCAAGCTTGGCTTGTCCAATATAATCGGTTATGGTCCATGAGAAATGTTTGCCAACAACAGCAGACAAGCAGTATAAAGAGTTGTCTGTTTAAGTATCCTTCATTAAAGACAACTTGACACTTTTGCTTACCAAAGTGAAGTAACCCTGTTTCTCAGCATTCATTTTCCTGAAACAAGGAGCAAACAAACAATTAATATTCAAGACAGGCTAAAAGTATCACAATTTAGATACAAGTGCCCGGAAAAATAATTGCATTTGCCAATCTTACCAGGCAAGCATCAGTACTCTGACATCTGTATGATCCACTTCCATGTCTGAACACAATGTCTCTATACCTTCCGGACTGAGTTACAAATTGACAAATCATGGGTGAAAAACAGTCTCGTAGATATGCATAAGGGGGAAAACACGGAAAAGAAGACAAGAGAAAAAACCGGGACTAAAGAAAGTGCTTGAACAGTAAAATCTCAATAACAAATTATTAGAAAAAAAAAATTATAGTCGTCAAATAGTTATTTGCAACTTTGAAAGGCAGGCTATCAACCAGAGTAACCAAAAAAAAAACCTTAGGCCTTGTTTGGTTTGATGTAAAACTTTTTCAAAAAAATCATAATTGCAAATTAGTTTTCCTTTGTTTGGTTCCTTACAAGAAAAATTATGGAGTAATTACAAATAGGAGTGCAAGTGAGGGTAGATGGGAGGAAAGTAAAAAGAAGTTAAAGAGAAGAGAGAAATGTGGGGAAATGTGGGAAAATGTTTTTCATCATTAACACTTTGTTTGGATATAAAGAAATGAAAGGAAAAGAAGAGAAGAGAAAAAGAGGGGGACAAATTCTCTTGTTTGGATAAAAAAAATTGGGGGAAAGAAGGGGAAGGAGAGGGAGGGATCCATTTTCCCTCTCTCTTTAATAAGCATAATCCCTCCAAAATTGGAGAGATTTGGAGGGAAAATAGAGCTCACCTCCCCCTCCCTTTCTTTACCCTTCCCTTCCTCCTTTTTCCCTCTCCTCCCCTTCCTTTCCTTCCTTCTCTGCTATCTAAACAAAGCGTAATACTACGTATGGATAGAGATAAATGGAGGGAAAGGAAGAGAAAATAAAGGAAAGGATCCATAATCTATTCCCCCCCCCCCCCCTTTTCACCTCCCTATCCCTTCACTATTGTTAGTGCAAAGATGCCTTTTTCCACCATCGGGAGCCAACCCCACTTATGGGATTAAGGCTTTGTGATTGATTGATTGGGGAACTTATTTTCCACCTCTTCACAAACCAAACAAAGGAAAATGGAAAAGGATGGGAAAATCATTTTCCATGAAAACATTTTACATCAAACCAAATTGAGCCTTATGGGTTAGTAAATATAGCATAGAAAAATTTAAACGACCCAAATTACATTTGTTTAGTAGTTCACTGTTTCAGAATATGATCATAGATTCATAATTTTTACATAGGAATGATAGGATGCTGATATATTTTCAGTTTTTTAAAAAGAAAAAACAAATAATTATGATGGTATAGTAAAACAAAGAAATGAAAATTCTGCATAGCTAATGAATCAAAAAAATATCCAAAATAATTAGACAGTTTGTGTAGTAGTTGTAGTGTGTTAATAATACAAGGATGAAGGATCACACGAGAATGACTGGGAAAAGCACAGGCACTCCCACAAAGTTTGCCACCGGAAACCCAGAAACAAAAAGTAAAATAAACAACACTTACTCGATGAACCCCGATGATTTATTGGCATAAGCATAGAACAATTGATCAATTCTTTCTAGTTCCTTTGAACTAGCTTTATTTGTAGCTGCACATAAACAAATCAGATACTCCGTATTAATTGAATACTTATAACCTATGTAATCAACAAATCAAACTTCCTTCATCACAAGATCTTATGTTAAATCAACACCACAATGCTACTCTTTTCTACTTTCATCAATTAAAAACTTCTGTTGCATGTTAGTTGATTTTATTCTTTTTAACACAAGATTTTCAAAGCCACTGCTAATCGATCAAAGAAAGGATTTTTTTTTTTTTTTTTTTTTTTTTGGCAAATAGAATAACTAATTCACGCCTCAAGAAGGATTTAGCAAGAGAAAAGATCACCAAATTCACATAAAGTAAGACTCGAAATCAATCGATTAATATTAAAATAAAAAAAATAAAAAATAAATAAAATTGGATTGGATTGGATTGGGAATAATAAAGAGTACGAAAATTAAGAATGATGAGAGACTAAAAAAGAAAAAAGGTACCGGAGCGAAAGAGATCAACGGAGGCGTTAACGGCGGTAGAATTAGATTGGCCCGTTTTTTTGGATGAAGCGCGAGGCATCCTTGATTCAAGAAATTGGAACTTGTAAACAAGAGAGAGAAAGAGGACGATACACAAAATATCACTCCTATAATTCGAATCCTTCTCCTCGGACCTCGCCTCCTTGTCTTCTCAAGTTTTTTACTGATAGATGATAAAAGGAACTTCAAGGACGGAAGAGGGCTTTTATAAATACTCTATATATTTTACTTTTTTTTTTTATTATTAGTAATCTTACCGTCCCGCGAACTCTTGTTCTGCCGACTCTCCTTCGTCCTCTACTCCTCTTCCCTTTATTCATTTATTGTCACTTCACGGGTCGGATTCGGATCGGATTATGCAAAATCCGACTCCGACCCTACAAGTTGTCGGATTTATCTGCCTCCGACTCCGACATCCGACTCCGATCCGAGTTAAATTTTCATCCTCTGACTCCGCCCCGATTCGACTCCGACTCCGAAATTATCAATAGCAACCAATACATAATCAACTTTAAAGACCAATAAATTCATAATTGAATGATAAAAAAATACTATATAAGTGCATGAAAAAGTTGGAGTCAGATCGGATAAGTCTGATTTTAAGTATACTCCAACTCTGACCCTCCTTTGATTCGGAGTCGGATTTTTTAAACAGAGTCGGATTCGGATAATTATTTCTCGGATTCGGTTCGGATTTGTTCTTCAAATCGGATCGGACTAGGGGCGGATTTGGACTAGATTGACATCCCTACGTGACGCCCTTCTCATTAAATACGAAGTACTTATTTTGTCTCAAAATATCTAGGATATTAGACTTTTTTCACTATTTATGTACTCCATTGATAGAGAATATCCATAGAATATTCTCATCCTAGGTTTAGGATATATTTTGTATAAGATTATCTTTAATATCTGTACATATCTTATAGTTACCTAATATGATTAGGTTTCTCATTGTAACCCTATAAATATTGATCAATGGAAATCACTCTAATCAAGGAGTTTACATTATCTGACATGGTATCACAGCTTAGGTTAGATCTTGGGATTATATGCAAAAATTCTCACCCTGCCGGTGGGTTAGAAAATTAAACCCACCGGCGGGATATACACAAATTTTTTATGCTTCCACAAACACACACATATAGATTTTTTTTTTCTTTTCTCAAAGTTTTTTTTTTAGAATCTTTATGTAACTTTGCGCCTCCCACCAATAGTAGCAATCGCGAAAGCTTCCTCCATCATTGTTGGCAATGGCATACACTCTACTACCGCCTCCCACTACTGGCAATAACCACATCTGCCAACCTACTCCATGTGCCGGACTTTATTTCCACCTCCCCATGACCAACAATGATTCTTACATTGCCTCATTGGTTTTTTAACACATAATCACATAGATTTTGTTTTGGTGGTGGTATATCGCAATAAGGTCAACTTTTGCACATCTCTTTTGCTATCACGTTAGCTCCTTTTATTGTTGCAGCACTTGGAATCTTTGTGGAGTATTACTTCTTGCTACCTGGTTTCTCTTTTGAGAATTGATTAATTTCAAGCGGTGGGATTTAATCTTTTCTTGCGCAATTTTATTTGTTTTTCTTCATCTGTGATTTCACGTAGTAGTGTAGTGTCTTCTCCCCGATGATGGTTTGATCCCTTAACTTATTCTTCTCTAGATCTGCAACTTGGCCCAAGTATATGCGTGACTCTTCTCCTTCGGCCTAAAAGCGCATATTTCTACTATACGTAGGTCGTGGTTGTTGCTTCTCATCGTCATCACTAGCACACGTCTACTACTTCTCTTTCGATCATGGGTTACTATATTATCCTTACCATTCGATGCGTGATTCGAATCCAGTCTGAGCATCCGATTTTCTCCCGCTCTGACTGCGGGGGTGTGATAGAGAATATCCATAGAATATTCTCATCCTAGGTTTAGGATATATTTTGTATAAGATTATCTTTAATATATGTACATATCTTATAGTTACCTAATATGATTAGGTTTCTCATTGTAACCCTATAAATATTGATCAATGGAAATCACTCTAATCAAGGAGTTTACATTATCTGACATCTATAATTCCATATAAATTTTAATCATGATTTTTAGATAAATTCTCATTGGTAGCCTCGTACTTTTGCTTATTTTCATTGGTAGCCACATTTAATATGAATTATCTTTGGTAGTCTCAAACTTTTAAAATTTTACTTCCGTAGCCATATTTACAATAAACCGTTAAGTGGGTGTTAAAATTTAACGAAAGGAGTAAGTATACTAATATAAATTAATGACAAATGAGTTAATAATATACTTAGGTCTCGTTTGGTTACGTAGTGAAATTAATTTTATTAAAAATTCCGAGTACGTAAATTCTAATGTTTGAAGAAAAAACCTAATCACAAAATTTTTGTTGTCTCCTAGACAATTTTTGAAGTAAAGAGATAGTGAGAAAAAATAAAGAGGGATCATGTGACAGGAAAGGGATAGTGAAAGTATTTATATTAACTAAAAGAGAAAGTGATACATGTGAATTGAAAATTTCATATATAAAAAGTGATGCATCTAATAAAAAATGGAGATTCTATGTGAAATATTGTTATCATCCAGCCTTAACACTTTATGTATGTGATTAATTGTGATTTGGCAGTGATCAAAAGTATTGTCTATTTGTCTAGATGATATCATGCTAAGTGTTTAGGCCGAATTACATAGTTATTCTTTGTAACACCCCCAAATCTTTCTCTATAGAAATACTAGTATAATATGTATAATTATACCGTAAAATGACTCAGGCGCATTACCGCCGCGTGATTATGCAAGACTACTCAAATTTACTAATTAAAAACCAATACTTTGCAGCGTAAAACTTCAATACCCTTTCTTTATTAATGAAAACCATAAATAAAAACCATTGTCATGAGTACTCATAATTAAAAACAAGGATCAACATTCCTAATCTAGATGAAGACATTCCTAGGACTCCATATGCTCATACATTGACTCTACCTTATATTAGTCAACATTGCTTGCCATTAAGGTAAACAAGGTGAACCAAAACAAATAAGAAAGTACGGGTTAACAAAATATGCTAAGTACGATAAGTGCAAGATAAATAAATTATTTTTTTTGCAAACATGCTCTTAAATCCAATTCCACTAATTATTCTTATGAATTCCAAAACTCATGATTCAAAACCAATCTCAATATTTTTTTTTTGACGGAAATCTCAGTATTCTCAACCAATTCCAATAACTCAATAATAATTATTAAAATCAACAGTGAGATGAAATTTTTAACTAAGGTCATTTTGCAAAATAAAATTTCAAGTGTGTAACAGAAGTTGGGGGTCACCGTTGAGAATTTTCCTACTTTATCATACTATTATATGGAGTACGACATATGTATATAAGCCTTCGATTAAGAGTACTTATGTATTTTCCTCATTTTTATAGTTTTTGGAATTATAGATACAGTTAATATATTATAGGTCAAATAATATATTTTGATGCTTAATGTAAAACCATACAAATAAAATATTAAAACACGCTACCATTTTTTCTAAGTTAACCATTTTTTAAAATATATTTATGCTATATGTATGATTATATAATTTGTATATATAAAACAATATTGTACTACATGGGGTTGATTTACATGTTTTCCCCACCTTTTTTTTGTGAGAAATTACCAAGGAAGATGGGTTCAATTAAGGTAAAGTTAATAAAGTCACATAAATGAGAACGATGAAAAATAATGTAATGCGTTAAAATAAAATGATCCAATGGCTACAAGCTTCATTAATGGAAAATTGTAAATAATATAACAACATTCCCCACTTCTCTTTCTCCTCCTCATGTTGCTCTCCCTATCTTTCCTCTTGTTCATCACTCTTTTCTATATTTTTCTCTCAAAGTTCAAAAAAAGATTCATTAATATCATAGATTTTCCCTATTTCTCTCTATCTCCTCCTCGTTTTTCTCCTAGATCATATCTTTTCCCATCATTTTTCTCTTAGATTTCAAAAGATTTTTCATGAATACAATAAGTGTGTTGTGTAAGAATACAAGAAATTATAGCAAAGAGTGAAAATTAAATACACATAACTTTTAAGTTATATGTGTATTATTTTTATATAAAAAAATGTGCATATTTATTATAAATGGAAATGTTTTAATCCTTTGTACTAAAGATGCATTTTTTATTAAATGGGCTTATTATTGAATATTCTCTAAATGAGTAATAAGGTGTGTCTATTTATGATTTAAACTCCTACTAATTGATTGGTAATTTCTACAACTCATCGTATTACGTTCTGAATGGTATTCACTAAATACTTAGTGCTACGAATTTGGGAGTGAAATTCGATATTATAACTTACCTAGGTAAAGTAGCCATCTAAAAATCCAATGTTTATTACTGGGTTTGCAAGTTGTTGATAAATACAATTACTTACTCATCTCTATAGTTAGAACTTTGAAAGATCGAGGAGAGAGGAAGAGTTCATAACGTGAAGAGGAAAATATAAGTAAAAAAATTAAATGTGCATAATTTTTTCAAATAAATGTACAAAATGTGCATTTCTTTTTTTGCTAAATGTGCATTTTGCGCAAGTGAATTGTAAATCTTTGGATTCATTGAGAATCTTTCTCATTTTTTGCATTATAAGACAATTCTCATTGGATCTCAACTGTATGTCTATTATATAAGACAAAGGGGAAGGCTATGATGTCCCTCTAAAAACATTTGAATACCTCTCTTGACTTATACTTAAGGAGGTAAAAAAAATCTACATTTTTTTTCATTCATTGTTCAACAATCAATCATGCCTTTAATTGATTCAATAAATTAATTTTAATCTTCAAATCAATCAATTGATCTCATAAGATTGTGTCATGATTCACTCCATAATCTTCAATATACTCCCAATTTCATCAATCTCACAACCAGTAAGCTTAATAAATCAATCAACCCATATAATCAAATCATGATTTCCCTATATCAGTAAAATTATTCCCATCAAAATTTTCATCTACAAAACTTTAATTACCTAATATAGTAAAACATACTCCCTTTGCTCAAGTTCTTCCCATTTTGATTGCGCATGTCTTCCAATATAAATGCACCACTTTGACCATAATTTCGTTATGTGCACATTAAATAAACCCAACATATATTATCTTGTATATATCTATACATCTACATTAAAAGGTGTTCCTAATCAAATATGCACGCCACATGTCACCCTCCATTCCACCAACAGGATGCCACATCATCCAATTAGAAACTAACAAAATGCCACGTCATCCAATTAGAAATATAAACGGTACACGTCAATTAAAAAATGTTCATGTCAAGAATTGAATTTGGGTCAATTGAAAAATGAATAGAAATTCATACCATCTTTGCTATCTAATAATTTTGTTTATTTATTCTTCTTAAATATAGTTAATTATAAACCATGCATGAGAGTGTATTCATTTGTACTTTAAAATGTTTTATTAGATTAAATTTAAACTAAATGGATGTATTTAAGATTATTATGTATATAAAAAAAATAAAAACTAAAAGTCAAATTCATCAAAATAAAATATACTAGGAAAAATTGACATTAATAATACAACCTTTGCCCCATTTATTTATTTTTTTTAAATAATACAACCTTTGGATTTTACCTGAGTATTACAACCTTTGTGGGGTCTCTATTTTAAACAAGGCAAAACCTTGTAACCAGTTAAACAAGTTGTCTATGACACATGCCTTCATATAATTGGTCTAAATTAATAATTTTTTATTTTTTAAAAAATAAATATTTTTTATTAAAAAAAAAAAGAAAACAACAAGCCCCAACCAGCTGCCCCTTTCCCCGACGACCCTCCTCCTTGTTGAACACCCAACCCCTTCCCAAAGCGACCACCTCCCCATTGAATAACATAAACCTAATCTCGGCAAACGCAACGACGACACAAACGCAAGGAAAAGGCGGGATTAGCGATTTTTTTGTGTGGAGAAAGAAGTCGATTCCCGTCGGATTCCAGGTGGAGAACGGAGTCCGTGACGGTTTTTAGGCTAGAGAAAGAGAGATTGTTGTTTTCGAGGCTGGGGAAGGGGATGGGGACGATTATCGAGGGCTAGCGAAGGAGAGGGGATGGTTATTCAGAGGGCTGGGGGAAGGTGAGGGTGGTTTTTACGGTTTCTAGAGAAAGGGAAGGCGATTTGCGGGGTCCGCGGCGCTGGAGAAGGGTGGTTTTCGTGGCTGTTTGGGATAGGCGATTTTCGGTGGTGGGGCTGGCGAAGGGAATATGTGGTTTTCGGTGGTGGGGCTGAATAGGTGGTTTTCGGTGGTGGGGCTAGGGTTAATGATTGCCTGAGGTGGTGTGAAGGTGGAGCAATGGTGGTGTTGGTGGGAGGAGAGAGGAAAAGGGAAAAAACCCAAAAAAATAAATTTAAACCAATCATTGAGCAACACATGTCATGGATAACCTTTTTAACAGGTTACCAACCGGTTATGTCTTGTTTAAAATTAACACTCTCCAAAGGTTGTAATATTTAGGTATAATCCAAATGTTGTATTATTTTAAAAAAAAAAACGGGGCAAAGGTTGTATTATTAATGACAATTTTTCCTAAAATATAATATATGAAAATTATAGTATAATATGTCGTGGTAATATTTTAAGAATTGCTCCTAAACATCGTCCAAGTTAAACACTAATTTTTATTTAAAGCAAAATGTTATATTGTATATGTTGTGAATAGTTTAAAAGATTCTCTCATCATACATAAGAAGAATAAAAAGAACAAACGAATGAAAAGGTACTTCTATATATAATTTAATTTGTATCAATATTGATATTCATATAAGCACACATTGTGTGTATATAAAGCTAAGGCTAGTATATCTGTGCGAGTGCGTGTATATGTATGTGTGGATTGGCTAAAATGAGAAATGAGAAAACAACTAATAAGTTGTCATGTGGCCTGCATATACTATACATCCCATTACCCCCCTAGTTTTCCAAAAATGGAAACAATCTTCGTCATAGCTTCTTATCTTATAAAAATTTACAATTTATTTTATAATTAAAGTAGGGGTTAGGTAAATCTAGTCAACAATGACCATTATCATTGGTGGGGTAATAATATATGTAGCTAGGCCTTTGCTACATATAAATTTTTTTAGGCCATATAAACATTAATAAGACTTCCTAAAGCAGTACTTCCTCTGTTTCTATTTAGTTGACGCGTTCAATTTAGGCACACATATTAAGGAGAAGGGAGCGAATGAAAGAGTATTAAAAAAAACAAGTATAAAATCGAAAATTTATGACAAAACCAACCTACTTAGATCGATGTAGTTAACATTTATTTATCTTAATACTTTAATTTGTAGCTTTTTTATATGTAGCCCTTATAGATTTGTTTATCACTTTTCTTTCCACAAGGGAAATATGGATGTTGTTAAAAAAAAAAGGAATATGGATGGAGGGGATTTAAACCTTGTTCTCGGTCAATAATTCATTGGTAAAAGTAGTACAAGTATAAGTATAAACTATAGAGTTGTTAACATAAAGATGCGTGATTAAAAGCAAGATGGATCCATATTTCTACATAAGATAAAATTAGAAAGTGACTCCACTAAAGTTGGTTCCATTTGAATGAAAATAGCCAAATAAAAGTTGGTGACAAATGTCATACGTGAGATTTGTTTTTGCTTTTTATGTGGTTAAAGAAAAAAAAAAAGTAATATGTACTCCGCATGTAAGCACATTTTACTCACACTCCAGTAGAGTTAGAGTTTGTTATGAATGAGAAAAATTCTCACAACCACTAATTGTGAAACAAAAATTCATTCTTATACCCTAACTCTCTCACTCTTGCTTAGCTAATTTATTAGTTCTTCGTCTTTCATCTTACATCAATTTACTCACTCACTCCCCCATTCACTTTTTCAACTTCACATAGTAATCCACATTTATTCCAAAATTTATTTTAATAGTGGATGGAGGGCCATTCCAAGAATGAATTTGAAGATATTACGAATGAGGATTTGGATCTTGTAAGATTGTCCATCTTTTTCTTTTGTTATAGCTACTTTTCTTATATTGATAATCAATATTCATGATGCGTAATATATCTAAGAACTATTACTATTACTATTATGGTTTGTAACGTGTATGCGTTAGAATGAGGTATAATCGCAATCCTATAAATGTTGCATTAATTATAATGTAAAGTTTGTTTGTTTGTTTATTACTCTATAATAATTAATCACAATTAATGATAATACACTTAAACATACAGGAAAATATACCTATAGATCAACTGTTCCAGGTGCTTAAATGTTCAAGACATGGACTGACATCAGATGAGGGCGAGAGTAGACTCAAGCATTTTGGCCCTAACAAACTGGAGGAGAAGAAGGTAACTCCCCAGTCCCTTATACAAAAGCTTATTTGTTTGTTTGATCCCATACATAATTTTTTAAAATATCAAATTAGCTTAATACATATGAATTTTAATCCTTTCAACAGGAAAACAAGCTTCTCAAATTCCTGGGATTCATGTGGAATCCCCTATCATGGGTTATGGAGATTGCTGCTTTAATGGCTATTGTTTTGGCTAATGGAGGAGTAATCACTTTTTTCCTTTTGTTATTTATTACATACATTCCCCTCAACACTGCTTATTACATACATTCCCCTCAACACTACTTACTTGACATCTTATTTACAACTTTAATTTATGAAATGTCAGGGTAAGCCCCCAGATTGGCAAGACTTTGTCGGAATCATCACATTACTCGTCATTAATTCTACCATTAGTTTCATCGAAGAAAACAATGCCGGTAATGCTGCTGCAGCACTTATGGCAGGCCTAGCTCCTAAAACCAAAGTAATGTACCAGGTTTTTTAATTTTTATTTTTTATGTCACTCACTTAGCCGAAGCTACTATAAGTAGTTCTTAAATTGCAACACCAATATAATGCATGATTATACTTGTGTAAAGGATGTCAAAATTTTGAAATGAATCATTGTAGGTCCTTAGAGATGGAAAATGGGGTGAACAGGAAGCTGAAATTCTTGTACCAGGAGATATCATCAGCATCAAGCTAGGAGATATTGTTCCTGCTGATGCTCGCCTCTTAGAAGGAGACCCACTTAAGATCGATCAATCAGCTCTCACCGGTGAATCCTTGCCGGTGAACAAACACCCGGGTGATGGAGTTTTCTCAGGATCCACTTGGAAGCAAGGTGAGATTGAGGCTGTTGTAATAGCCACCGGTGTTCACACCTTCTTTGGCAAGGCTGCTCACCTTGTTGATAGTACTAACCAAGTTGGTCACTTCCAACAGGTAAAACTAAGTTACGATAATCGCTAGACAAATAATGATATTCATTTTTTTTAAAAAAATTAAGACTTGAGAATTAATCAATTATCGATACAGGTGCTGACGTCAATTGGAAACTTCTGCATAATTTCGATTGGTGTTGGAATACTAGTTGAGTTAGTAGTGATGTACCCAATTCAACGTAGGAAGTATAGGGATGGAATAGACAATCTATTGGTGTTGCTTATTGGTGGAATTCCAATTGCTATGCCAACGGTGTTGTCAGTGACAATGGCCATTGGATCTCACCGTTTGTCTCAGCAAGGTGCAATCACTAAGAGAATGACAGCTATTGAGGAAATGGCTGGCATGGATGTCCTTTGTAGTGATAAGACAGGAACTCTCACACTTAACAAACTAACAGTTGATAAGAACATGGTTGAGGTTCGAAAATGTTTTGTTAGAATTAAATTTTTTTTCTCTCTTCATACTTCAATTTGCAAATCATCCACTTTTTTTTTTCATGCAGATATTTATGCCTGATTTAGATAAGGATACTGCAATCTTGCTGGCATCTCGGGCTTCTCGTGTTGAAAATCAAGATGCAATAGATACTTGCATTGTAGGGATGTTGGCTGATCCCAAGGAGGCAAGAGCAGGAATCACTGAGGTACATTTTCTTCCATTCAATCCAGTTGAAAAGCGCACGGCCATTACTTATATTGACGCTGAGGGTGATTGGCATAGGGTTAGCAAAGGTGCTCCAGAGCAGGTTGGTGATAAGAATTAGTAGTTGCTCTATAATACCGAAGGTCATTTTGTCTATATATACTTCAAAGCTTTATTTAACATACATTCCCTACTGAATAATGATTGTAGATTATTGAGCTTTGCAACCTTGGTCATGACGCAAGGAGCAAAGCTCATGCTATCATCGATAAATTTGCTGATCGAGGTCTTAGATCCCTTGGTGTTTCAAGTCAGGTAAACTATATCTTTAAAGTCATAAATAAGCTACTCATGCAATTAAAACTTCTTACATGTCCCATTTCTCTTTTCTAGGCTATTCCAGAGAAGAGCAAGGATAGCCCAGGAGGCCCGTGGAAGTTTGTTGGTTTATTGCCTCTCTTCGATCCTCCAAGGCATGATAGTGCTGAGACTATAAGACGTGCATTGAGTCTTGGTGTTAATGTTAAGATGATCACTGGTGACCAACTAGCCATTGGTAAGGAGACAGGTCGTAGGCTTGGAATGGGAACTAATATGTATCCTTCATCTTCCTTACTTGGTCAACATAAGGACGAGAGCATTGCTTCCATTCCTATTGAGGAGCTCATTGAAAAAGCTGACGGGTTTGCTGGCGTCTTCCCTGGTATTCAGATACTACACTGTACTATGCTTTAACATTTTTTTTTACCATTGTTTAACAATAGTTATGGATAAATGCAGAGCATAAGTATGAGATTGTAAAGAAATTGCAAGATAGGAATCACATTTGTGGTATGACTGGAGATGGAGTGAATGATGCTCCAGCCTTGAAGAGGGCAGATATTGGTATAGCTGTCGACGATGCTACTGATGCAGCAAGAAGTGCATCTGACATTGTGCTCACCGAGCCAGGGCTTAGTGTGATTATTAGTGCTGTCTTGACTAGCCGAGCAATTTTCCAAAGAATGAAGAACTACACCATATATGCAGTTTCCATAACCATTCGTATTGTGATGGGTTTTATGCTCATCGCCCTTATTTGGAAGTTTGATTTTGCTCCCTTCATGGTTTTGATAATTGCAGTTCTTAATGATGGGACCATTATGACAATCTCTAAGGATAGAGTCAAGCCCTCTCCTACGCCAGACTCTTGGAAGCTCAAGGAAATTTTTGCCACCGGTGTTGTCCTTGGCACTTATCTTGCTCTCATGACCGTCCTATTCTTCTGGGCTATTAATGACACCAGCTTCTTCTCTGTAATAAATTCTTTGCATTTTTTATGTAGTACACTTTTATATTTATTATCATTTTTAACAATTCACATATTATAATTCTATATGCTTACTAAATGGCAGGACACATTTCATGTGAGATCGATCAGGGGAAATGAAGAGGAGCTAATGGCTGCCTTGTACCTTCAAGTAAGTATTGTAAGTCAGGCACTGATATTTGTAACTCGGTCAAGGAGTTGGTCCTTCGTTGAACGTCCTGGCTTTATGCTTCTCGGTGCTTTCTTCTTAGCACAATTGGTGAGTTACTCAAACCTCGTGTTTTTTATAAATAAAATTGTAATATAGCATCCTCTAACACAAGACTATCCACTTTTATTGTTGGGGGTTACTCAGATTGCCACACTCATTGCTGTCTATGCAAATTGGGGATTTGCACGTATTAAGGGAATTGGATGGGGATGGGCTGGTGTAATCTGGCTTTTCAGTATTATCACTTATGCGCCCTTAGATTTCTTAAAATTCATAATCAGGTATGCCTTGACTGGTAAGGCTTGGGATAATCTGCTTGAAAGAAAGGTAATTATTCTTTTTCCATCAGATATTTCTATTATTATTTTTAGATTTTTAATTCAGTATTATAGTACCTTTTCCGTTTTTTTATAGTTGCAACAGTTTGACTTTCACACTATTCATGTGTTTCACTTTGACTAGCTTTGACAATTTATACATAAAGAAAAATATAGTCATGTGGTATCTTGTTAGATTCGTCTCGATTTGTACAATTTTGATATCTAAAATTATAATTTTTACATATAGGTAATCAAAGATATTAACGATTCAAAACATGCATCGACAAGCGTGAAAAGAGAAGTGTTGCAACTATAAAAAAAACAAGGAAATTTTGCCAACAACTACCTTTTAAATGACCACTTTTGAGAACAACTACCATTTAAAAATTTCTTTTAAAAAAACTACCACAAAGTCACAAAAACTTTGATTAGCACTACCATGTTTTATTTTTCGGGAAAAATTTTCGGTTAAGAAAGCCTAGTTTATAAGATTTCAATCAATTGTGGTATTGAAAACAGAGATTAAGATAGTAAAACAAAATTATAGGTCAATTATCTTTAATTTTGCATTATAGTTTATTTAATTTCTCGATTAAATCTTAAATTTAGGGTTTATGGTCAAAAAATTGAATTAAGGGCTTTACGAAATTGGGGGATTTGGGGCAATTGAAGTGTATAATCCAATTAAGGGTTAATGTAGTGCAATATTATCATGTAATTTGGGTTTTTTGAGGGAAATTTTATAAAATATGCCTAAAAAACAGAGATTCTTGCCGGAAACAATAATTGTGGTAGTGCTACTCAAACTTTTTGTGTTTTTGTGGTAGTTTTTTCAAAAGAAAATTTTAAATGGTAATTGTTCTAAAAAATGGACATTTAAATGGTAGTTATTCGCAAAATTTCCAAAAAACAAAGGAAGTATAATTTATTGTTTGGAAAGGTGCTTTTGTTATGGTACTCGTTAGTCGTTACATGTTAAAACTGTCAATATATATAGACTGCATTCACAAGCAAAAAGGATTATGGAAAGGGTGAGAGAGAAGCTCAATGGGCTACTGCTCAACGTACATTACATGGCCTAGAGGCTCCAGAAAATCCAGACTTACTCGCAGACAAGAACAATTATCGAGAATTAACAGAAATTGCTGAGCAAGCTAAAAGACGTGCTGAGATTGCTAGGTAAGATACCCTTACAATGAAGGTAACAATGTTTTTTTAAGATAAAAAGAACCTTAAGGGGAGAAAAATGATTCTCCCTTATACTTTCTATCATCAAGTCACTCATGCAGAAAGTAGGGAAAAATCATTTGACTTCTCCTTAAAAAGGGGTCTATTCACTTAAAGAAATCACATTGGAGGGATAGAAAACAAAATAATCTACTCTATATTGTCAAGATGGGTAATGATAATAACAATAACTATTATTACTACTATCAGGTTGAGGGAACTTCACACATTAAAAGGGCATGTGGAGTCAGTAGTCAAGCTCAAGAATCTTGACATCGAGACGATCCAACAAAATTACACAGTTTAATTATTCAGAAGAGAGGATAATCAGGCTCAAGCTCTACTCCACCACTTTGTACTTTGGCATTTGGTGGTAGATAAAAGTGATGAAGATATAAGAAAAAAGGGAAGCTTAAATATATTTTTGCCCATGTTTCCTTTTTCTTATTTGAAGCTTGTTGCAAACCCAACGCCAATAAACCCAGCCGCAGAGATTTTGCTAGAAGAAGATACAATGTTGGGAAAATAGACTTTTAGAGAAGATAAGACTAGTACAATCTTATAAAAAAAAATCCTGAAAATGGTAAAAGATTAGTACCCTTTTGAGTCTTATGAAAAGTTGTCCCCCTCTCTCAATGAAAGAAGATTTGGCTTTGTTTTCCAACTAAATCTGCTTTCGTCAGTTTTGCATAATTGTATAACATTGACTAGTTCATTCAATTAACCAATATAGTTCTTGAATCATTTTTGATAATTAGTCAATAAGATTTTGGTCGTTTACGACTAAGGCCAGACTTTTAACACACATAAGATTCACAATACTATAAAAAAATGTAATTATTACTTTTGGTGGAATTCATTTGTATAGTTAAAGGTATTGCATAAATTCATCTCGACAAAGTAAAATTCATTCTGCCCCTAATTAACTACTATAAAAGTGTATTGATTGAAATGATCATCAACTGTTTCATAACAATTCGTATATTCTCTTAGTTTATACTCAATGTACTATACTTATCCTCTAGTAAAAGCATAGTTTATATATATGGCTCAGTCTCTAACCTCTACTCTGTAATCTAAGTTAAGATTGCAAGTTCAAATCCTTGTGTGCATAACTATAAATGATAGGACATTTGGATTTTTATCAGCCCATTAGCACTCTCTTTTCCGATCCATGTACAAAAAGTTTGTTTTATTATTTTTCTTAAAAAGTTTCCCATCGATCCCCTATCTCCACACTCTATGTTCTACATATATTACATAGTATAACATTATACACTTAAATTAATTATTATAACTAATTAAAGTTTGTTTTATTATTGGTAACCACTAACCACTTATTAAATTTTTTAAAGTTAAGGAGTCAAATAAAAGTAATACCCCCTCTTTTTATTTTTAATATTTGCGTCACTTTGAATGACGCATTTGTCGAGACATAACTTTGATCATTAATATTGTTAACTATTAGTAAAAAAATGTTTTTTTTTTAATGAAAATAGACGTTGTAAATAATTCAATGATATACTCCCATTTTTTCGTTTTATAATAGTAACAAAAATAAGTAAAAAAAAACATGTGAAAAGTGCATAAGTGGAAGTGATATAGATATTAAAAAATGAGGTCGAGGGAGTAATTTAGACATATAAAGTGAACTTGAAAAAGATGTGAAAAGTGAAAGCATATCCTTACCTTATAATAAGTATGAGAATGCTCTTATGAATAGTGTAAAGACTACTATATCCCTCAAAATGTTTGTTTACCAATTTGCCCCAAATTAGAAAAAAAAAGTAAGAAGATATTAGTATATAGTTAACTAGATTAGTATATGTGGAATATATGGTAATAGTTTGTCTTCTTTCAATATTTATTTGTACTTAAAGACGACTATATCCTTCCAAATGTTTATCTACCAATTTGCCCCAATTTTTTTTTAAAAAAGGTAAGAAGATATTAGTACCTATCTAGATTAGTATATGTGGAATAATGGTATAGTTTGTTTTCTTCCTATATTAATTATACTAATAAATACTTAGATGTTATGAATACTTGTAGTTTTGTAGTAGCTTAGTTAGTGTATATTTCTTACCGTGGAATGGTAATATATTTTTTTTCTTCCAATATTAATTTGTACTAATAAATAATATTTGAACTATTGAATTATTTAGATATTACAAAATACTTGTAGTTTGTAGAAACTTAGTTAGAGTAATTTTCAATAACTTTTTAAAATTAGAGATTTTTCCAAAATTGTTATATACTTTGAGTAATGTGTAAACCTTAACCATGAACAACAAGTCATTTTTGTAAATAATTACAACAAAATATCATATACATAGTCATAAAGCATTAGTGACAAACATACAGTTGCAAAGCCTGCAATTACTCTTCTCAAATGACTAACCATATTGTGCGCATTACGCGCAAGACCCGTAGTCAATTAAAAGTATAATCTAGTTTATGCATAGATCTTGAAAAATAATAAACAATGACATTTTATTTACTTCATGATTTTTTTCTTAAAATGCAATTAAAAAAAAAGGATACATGCTCAGTCGACCACATACCATGGTCCATTACCTGGTTAGCCCATGTATGTGGTCTATACTTTCACATAGACCAATGCTAATTATTTATATAATATAAATGGGTAAACTTTATTAAAGTAACTAGATAATTCCCCGACAAATGTTCGGAATTTTAAGTTATTTGCAAGTAAATTCAAAATTCAAACAATGAAAAATTTATCAACAAAACCAAGAGAACTAAGTAATGCAGAGTAGATTAAGAATTCAAGAAAAAAATCATAACTAATCATGATAGATAGCAATCCACACAAATATGATATTAGACATTAGAGATGAAAAACAAAGAAGATCTCCATGGTGACCTTGAATTATTAAAGAAGCAAAATTTTAAATTAATTTCCCTTAGACAATTAATATTTTTCCACCGACCACCATATTTAACCCATACTACTTATCCGTAGAAATCAACTACAGAAAGTGATAAAATTACTTTTTATTTTTTTTAGTAAAACTATCTGCTTTGTTAACTTCTCTCTTCTAGGCTTGGCCATGGAGAATAATGACATAAAAAAAAATCCCAATTCTTACACTGCTTCACGCATCTCAACTAAAAATTAAAATCCTAAATCAATAAAAATCCTAAATCAAATCTGTTAAATATAATGTTTTAATTTTTTAGAAATTTTGACATTCACATTTGCTTCTTGTTTTTTTATTTTTTTTTATTTTACTTCATGACCACCTAAATTAGAGTTTGTTAAAAATCACAGTTTATTCAAAAAAAAAAAAAAACTAGCCACCCTTAAAAAAGCCCAGCTTCTCCCGTCAGCCACCCTCCTCCTCCCCTTGCCGGCACCCAAAGCTCGGCTACCCTAATAGAATCGACCCTCTCCCCTTCCCTTACCCAAAAACCGACACACCTAACCCTAAACCACCAGCCCGAAACCACCCTAAACGGGTTTTAGGGTTTCCCTTATAGTGGTTTTGGGGTGGTGGCTTTGGGTTAGGGGTGGCCGAAAATGGTAGGGAAGAGGAGGGGGTCGATTATGATGGATGGAACAAGGAGGGGGGCTGATTCCACCGCGAAATCATCTTCTCCGAGAAATTCCAGCTCTTGTCTGAGCGATTTCGACCGCCGAAAAGGGTATGGGAAGGGATATTGACCGCCTCTTGTGCTCATAAGACCTTGTGTCAGAATAAGGTACCACCTTTCCTTCCATTTTTTGATAAGCTACCCATTTCTTGGAGTTTCTTTTCATCATATACCTTCGGAGCCATTCCATTTGTGTCAGAATAGGTTTGTCCCTAGCCTGTTTGATCACTGCATTAAAGGTCTCAAATACGTTGTTGAGTAACATATTAGACTTGCAGGTTGGGCTAAAAGCATGCCTTGACTAATGACGGGCAGGTATATCATCAAGGTATTCATATGCCTCTTCTGAAAGAAATTTGATGGACTCCATGGCAACTTCAAACACATACTTGTAAAATGAAAACAACAATAATGCAAAAAATAAGCACTCCAAACATAACATATAATACATTATCATTAGCAAAAGTGTACAAAGATTTAAAACACAATCTTACCAGAGTGGTGGCTCTAGCTGCACTCCAAAAGAGCTCTTTGAAGGTGGTGCCACTGAACTGGAGCTTGAATTTTGCCCATATGTGTCTCGTGTCTCACACAAAATCTTGTTTTAGCTTTTGGTACAACATGGTTAAAAGCTTCAAGCAATCCCTGTTTTCATGATATCATCAACAAGTTATTTGATAAATGAACTGATTAATGCAATACAAAGATAATTCATTTAATAAGCACACACTCACCTTTTGCCTGTCAGACATGAAAGTCCAGCCATAGCGTTGGTCTTCATCACCAAGATCTCTCACACTGGCGGATCTACTAAGGAATCAGGGGGGTCACGTGCTACCCCTGGTTTTTTTAAAATTTTTTTTGTTGTTTTAGTATAATTATTAAATTTTGCAAAAGTAAGTTATATTTTTACTATTGTTGCAGCAGTAGAATTGGGTTGATGGTGGGAGATGGCTGACAAGTTGCAAGTTCGATACCTCACACATTAACTTTTATTCTTTTGCTTTAGCCTACATATATTTACTTTTGTCTCACTCTATTTTTTATTTTATTTTATTTTATTTATTTATTTATTTTAATCTCTACCACTTTATCAATTATCTTAGAAACCAATTTCTTCTACCTTATAGATTAAACATGGCTAAACCTAAATTAAATAGGGATGAATTGAACAATTGTGAGGCAAAGTATGAATAATTACAAATTTACAAATACATCAATACCAAAGAGTTAAGTTATTTCTTTTTTTTCAACAAAAATATTTATTGTATTATTTTTTTGGTTTAATTCTCACACACTTGTAAAAAAAATAAAGTTCTTTACTCAAATTGAAAATTTTCAATATTTTTCATCTAACTTATTTCTTAAAGAAAGGTTACTTAAATTCTAATTAATAGAAATTTTAGTTTCTAGTATGGTGCTACCCCTACATGATAATCCTAGTTCTGCCACTGATCTCTCATTAGCAATTCTAGAAACCACACCCAAGTGTCCTTATTCTCAATTTCCACTGTAGCCCATGCAATTGGATATATGTTGTTATTACCATCCCAACTGTAACAAGGATTTGCCCTGGGTAGGCTCCTTTTAGATGGCATCCATCTACACCTATTAATGGTATGCATCCTGATATAAAACCTTTTGCCAAAGCATCCAAGTAGATGTATAGCCTCTTAAACCTTGGTGGTTCTAGATTCTCAATTCCATGATCAACTACCACTGAACAACCAGAACCTAGGTTGTACTTGATGATTGCTTGACAATAATACCACACTCTCGCATATTGTTCAGTTGTGGATCCACATATCTCAAGCTTTACTCTAGCCCTTGCCATCCAAGCCTTAAAGTAACTAACACTAATCCCAAAATCAGATAACACTCTTTGTCTTAAAGTCTTAATTTTTCATGTTGGATCAACCCTAAATTCTTCTAAATACTTCTCAGCCAAGTATTCAGCAGTCAACATATAATTTTTCTTCCCTCTCATACATCTATGCTTTAATATCAAGCTCTTAATTTGCAATCCTTCTTCATTTGGCAACCTCCTGGCATTAACCTTAAACATACATCTTATACCCTTAACACACTTACATATATGCAGTTTAGTCCTTTTTGAATCTCAATTACAACCACACCTTCTTTTACAATGAACTGTAATTTTCTTCCTATCATTATGCAAAGAGTAGAACTCATACCTGTTCTCAATTGCATGAACCCTCAAAGCCTTCCTTAAGACAATGCTGTTAATGAATTTCTGACCACTCAGAAGCTGAATTGGCTTCTTGAAGTTTGTGACAGCACTAAACCAAGGGCAATTGTCCTCCTCTTCATCAGATCCATGAATGCTCCTCAACTCATCAGAATCATAATCTTCTTCTTCATTTAGCCTTACTTCAGTAGCTTCTAGTTGTTCACTAAGCTGTGAAAACCTAACTTCAGTTCTGCCAACCTCATTATCAAACTCATTTGTAGCTTGCTCCTGTTCCAGACTACTATTCGCATCCCTTAAGATACCTACAACTTGTTCTTCAACCTGATCATCACTCAAATCGTTCTCCTCTTCCCCAACATTCCAATGTATATCCAAATCACTAAAATCTGTAGTTTCAGAACCAGAATAGGATTCAGACTGTACCACAAGCTTCCTTTGTCCTTCTTTTTCCCTCTCTAGTCCTTTCTCCTTTACCTTTTCCCTTGGCAGTAGTTATAATATTGTCACTACTAACTATCTGTTCATTTTACAATTACATGACAACAATTAATTTATTTATTTTTGGCAGCAACAATGCAAAAATCTCAAAACTAACCCCAATAAACCAAGCCCCAATTAAAAAATTTCCAATTACCCAGTACCAATGATAATCAAATCCTCACAAACAAAGTCAAACAATACAAATCTCTATTTTTATTAACATAATATTAAACAATTACTAATACTAAATGATTAATTATAAACTAATACATATATTAATCAATTTTCATTTGACTAGGGTTATGCACAGTTAATAATTAACCCCAAAATTCAACAAAATTGCAATTCTAACATGCATTAAACAACAAAATAAATAACAAATACGTACCTTTTCTCTACTTGGAATGAACCCCACTACCTAATGGTCCCTTTACTGTTGAACATGACGAGTAAAGCTAGCGTCTTTTGCTTTTACCACAACAAGTATGTGACGCAAGAACAAAGGACATTGACAGGGATTTTTTAAGCAAAAAAAGTTAAATAGGGATGCAGAAGGATAAATTCATTAATGGAAGAAAGATGGAGAAATTTAATGTAGGAGGGATAAGAAATTCAACGCAAAGGCTTGGAGTAGGCAGAGTATTTGTTACTTAGGGGAAATCGTGAAAATAGAATAGAAATAAGGAGGGAAACTAATTAGGTGGGCCCACTTGACGAAAAATTGACCAGATTCCGGCAATAGGTGGTTATTTCTAATTTTATTTTTTTATGGGGTGGTTATTTAAAATATATATAAAAAAGGGGGTGGTTATTTCAAAAAAATCCAAAAAATTGATACAATACTCCGTAATATAAAGTAGTTTATTACCTGATATTGATAATTTGTAGCAATTGATGATTTGACATGTAATATTTTGCATCAACACAACAGTAAAAGAAAGGTGGGGGCGTGGGGCCATACGTGGATTGTCGATCTTTATTTAATTACATTGAATGACTTTTCTAGGTAAATAAAAAGGCACCTATTAAGGGCATGTTCATATTTACTGAACTGAACTGATTGGAGCTGAACTGAACTGATTGGAGCTGAACTGAACTGAACTGAACTGAACTAAGCTGAAATGAATATTTTATGAGAGAGGAAAATTAAGAGTTGAACTGAACTGAACTGAACTGAACTGATTGGAGCTGAACTGAACTGAACTGATTGGAGCTGAACTGAACTGAACTGATTGGAGCTGAAATGAACTGAACTGAACTGAACTGAAAATAAGTAAATATGAACAAGCCCTAACTTGTTGCATTTTATTGGGCCTTCATATCATTGAATAACTACTATAGACGCATATTACCTACTTCCTCGGTTCTTTTTTACTTGACCTGCTTCTTTTATCACGCTTGCCAATGCAAAACTTTAGCGATTAATAACTTTAATTCTCCATAAGTACAAATTATAAAAGTTTTATATTACGATAGTACTTACTGAGACGAATTCAATAAGATTCCACATGAATATATTTTTCCTTACATATCATTCACAAAAGACGGTTAAAGGAGAAGTGATGAATAGTATAAAAGTCAAAGCAGGTCAAGTAAAAAAGAACAGAGGAAGTATATGTTAGCAAACATATAGGGATGACATTCTTGAAATTTGTCATATGAAAGTGGGCCAAGATAGAAACGCCCTCCTATATACATGCTAAATAAATAGGTGCTATGTGCCTATATGCATTCCATATCATTACTATCTTATTGGATTAAGCACATAACAAATTAGACTTTTACATTTTATTTCCCAAATCCAACAACGGCCAAGCCCCATTATGCTAGTTAAAAAATCCGCCCCTGGTAGTGATTTTTAACAAATTTCTGATTAGGTGGTAGTAAAGCAAAAAAAAAAAAAAAAAAAAAAATCTGGTAGCAAATGCGAAAAATAGTGTTTTTAGTGGTAACAAATATAAAAATTTTCTATTTTTTTTTTTTTCAATTTTCATGCCCAAAACACGTTCAATAAAGGTGTCATTTTTGCCCTAAACCGCTGATTTATGCTTAAAATTTTCAAAAAAAATATCGAAAATGCCCCAAGTAAAAAATGAAGAGAAAACTAAAAACTTCCGGAGCAGATAGCCAGAATACAAATTAGTAGAAACAAAAAAAAAAAAAAAAAAAAAAAAAAAAAAAAAAACAAACCGTACTGTACTTAATATTCTCCATTGTTTGTCATCTAAATTGGATCACTAAAAATTTGATCTCCGAGAGTGGTGAATGGAAGATGGAGTATATAGACAATTTGCCGGCGATGGATCTGATGAGGTCAGAGAAGATGACGTGTGTTCAGTTGATTATTCCGGTGGAATCTGCTCATCGTGCAATCTCTTACCTCGGTGAACTAGGCCTCCTTCAATTCCGTGAGGTATTCCTGTCAGATTAAGATTGTATGTGATTTCTTTTGCTGTTAGTATGTATGATTAGGCTTTTATTTTATTAATTATGTCTTAATATTTATGTTTCATTTCATTTCTGATGTTGCTTTTGATGTGACTGTAGTTTGTATTTTGATTGTTCATCTGCATTAGATCTGAACCTCAATAAGGCATTATGAGGTTCTAGTGAGAGAATAGTGGAGCGCAGAACATCTCCATTAGTGCCCAATTACTTATATGCGAAATAGAAATGTTACCGGGAACCTAATTCTAATGATCGCGATCTTCGACTAGACGATTGTCTGGCTAATCAATGTTTTTGAACTGATCATTCTTTATATTGAGTTGTGGTTGTTGAATTAATGTTAATTTGTTATCTATTGTGCAGCTTAATGCTGATAAGAGCCCTTTTCAGAGAACATTTGTGAATCAGGTACCTTTTTAATGCCTCGGTAGCTTTTTGGCTTTTGCCTATGTACTTTAGAAGGCTTCTTTTACGTAATGCTCAAGCGGCTAAGCTTCTGAAAAGATGCAAGAAGCAAGGAGTTGTCTACTTGGGGGACTTTTTCTTTTTAAATTTATTTTAGGCATTGATTGTTGAAAATGAATACACATTTGTCATCCCCATTATGATAATTATCAACCATGGCGGCGAGGGTATGTGTAACATACTATGTTTATATGCCCTTGTTTCACGAACCTCCTTTATCATATTTACTTATTTATTTCCTATTGCGAAGAAAAGATGGAATAGGAATATAGGATAACAAGGTATAGTGCTGAGAGGACCATCCCAAATTTTCATTGGCTAGGCCTGTAGTAAATAAAAAAAAACCCCATATTTTAACGATTGCGATGTGTATTTGATTAAAAAACCTAATCCTAGAGTAAGAAGAAAATATTTTATTTCAATTTTTTTTTTTAAAATATCGTTGTGTAAAAATCTTTTAGAATAAGGACTATCCTCGTATCAGTGTTGGTTTCCTAAAATTTTCCTATATGTCTGCTATATGCATGCCCTGAGAGGCTGAAAGAAAAAAAAATGCCCAGGCTGAGATTCATACCCTATGACTGACTAACATAGATTTCGGGCTACCGTTCTTTCAAATTTCTTATATAGACACAACTGGATATTTCATACGATTGGGTTATGATTGCAGGTAAAGCGATGTGCAGAGATGTCAAGAAAATTGAGGTTTTTCAAAGATCAAATCAGCAAAGCTGGCTTGTTAATTTCTGGTCATCCTGGGATGCAACCTGATCTTGAGTTAGAGGAGTTAGAGGTTAACCATATATCTTTAAAATAATTTACAATTCACAAATGTCAATGATGCTGGAAACTGTTAATTGCTGCTTTGTCTTCAACAACATTTCATTAGTTGAATCTTCTGTTATTTTAGCTTTATTTGGATTTTTAGGCAAAATGGATGTTATGTTACTTCATTACTAGATAAGTCACACGAGATTTAGGACATTTGTTTATCGTGAAGTAAATTTTCAGAAATGAGTGTAGACTATAGAAACAAAAGAAAGGGATAGAGCAAATAGAAGGCTGGTGATATGGAGCGAGTAAAGGAGAAAATAGAAGCGTGATTGTGTTAAGATTATATTGGGCATCTTGTAGCATAATGTGTGTAGTTTTTTTCAGAAAATGGGATAATATTTGACTACCTTGTTAAGTTGTTATACTATGTTGCATTCCAATTAGGTTCCCTCTTTTATAATCGTGTAGAACTGAAGGCAAGTCTTGGATTGACTATTGAAGTAGGGTGGATGGTAAAGAGGTGGTTTTTAAGATTGATTTTGAAATTTCAAATTTCTTGATGTTGAAAATAAGGGTCTTGATGGGCGATAGAGGCTCTAGATTTGCAATTGCTTGTCTAATGCTTATTATTCAATAATGGATTAATGGTGAATGATGCACCTAGAGTGGTTAGTCTTGTCGCAAAGGGTTGGAGCAAAGGGATTCTCTTCTTCTTTTCTTTTTCCTTTGTAGTTGATTCTCTTAGGAGAATGTTGGAGTTGGGGAGGGGGTTGTTGGAGGTTAAAGTTATTTGGTTAATGGTGTGTGAAGAGGAGGTGGAAGTTTCTCTTTTGTTTTGTCTTTGGAAGCTGAATTTTACCATTTAAAAAGGTTTTATTTGAGGTTAAACGAAAGGGGCAAAACTTCAGGTACCTAGAAATGAGGATCATGGGAAAGGATGGCGAATTGGTGCTCTGGTGAACTGTAGTTTGGAACGGTCAAACAAAGCAACTCACAAGGGGGAATATTGGGTTTAATACTTAAGTTCAACCTTATTAAATGTAGTGTGGAGGGCATTAACTTGATGCTTGTGCTCTTAGGGAGTATGCACCTATGGCTGGCTGACAAGTTGAGAGCTGGCCTCTAGTTAGGTTTTTACTCTATTCGATTACTTTGAGGATTTTTTTGGGACGATGTATGTATCTGAAGTTCTACCTTACTCTTGGTGGTAGGATGATGCTGATTAAATTTTTTCTTTTCTTTTTTCTATTTATTTATTTATTATTATTATTTTTTTGTCGTCGTTGTTGTCTGAAATCTCTCTATACAATCTCTCATTGTTCGAAATTCTTGTTGCTATTTAAACTTGTAAGTAAAATTTTAGGTCTGGGGATATTTTCTGATTTAGGTCTGGTGATGACTGTTAAAAAAACTTGTGATGATGATGATATTTTCTGATTTAGGTTTGGTCTGGTGATGACTGTTAAAAAAACTTGTGATGATGACTGTTAAAAAAAAAAAACAACTTGTGAGCCTGGAATTGGTATGTTATCCAATGGCTAAAGGAGGTTTATATTTTGAGAAAGTGGTTCCTAGATTTATTGCATTTTTTGGAAAATGGTTGAGGACTTGTGGCATTTTGCTCAAAAAATTGAGTTTGTTTGGCTCCAAGTCATCAAGAGCAGATATGGGTGCCAAAATGAAACGAAGTAACCCCTCCCTTCCCTCTTTGGGTGAGGTTCAAAATAGGGGATTGACTTCGCATTCATTTTTGGGAATATAAATAGAGAAGAGACTAGAGAGCAACCTTTTTTGTGTTTGATATCCTTGATTATTCCACTTGTCTTCTATCTATATATACGGATTTAGGAGGAACTTTCGCTTCTTGTTGAGATTATTGATTGGCTGAATAGAAAAAGGCTGGTTATAGTGAAATGGCAAGTTGCCTTTTGAGGAGGTTTTTTTTGCTTTGCATGTCTTTTCACGGGTTTCAATGGGCTAAAAAGTTGGCCAGGGTTTATAAGACTTACTTGATTGGTAAGATTCAAAGATATTGGGTTAATATGCTATTTTGGTTTGTGATTGATTGATTGCAAGGAAACTTGTCCTTTATTTTTGTTCCTTTACTAGCTGTCAATATTACCAATTTTCTTATACTACAACCATAATAACAACATGAATTGTTCATAAAAATGATTTGGGGTCGGGTTAACTTGAATCGTCATAAGGAATCGTTTGCCAAAATTGGAACATTCTCTTTGCTTCCCTACCTTTTAAAAACTTTGAGATGACTCTTATGAATAGTGTTTGTGACAATTATACCCTCCAAAATGTTTACTTATTTGCGCTCATTTATGTTAATTGCCTCTTTTTTTTGAACTTTTAAAGAATAGTGTGAGGATGTTTATACCCTTAAGAATATTTGTTTAGATATTTTCCCTCATTAATTTTGTAACAACTAAATTTGTGACATAAGGCCAAACCAAAAGAGTTCCACGGACACCCACATTAGCTGCCTTGCCCTAGTATACAAACAAATGTCACCCTATATCAGCTGTCACTTTTTAGTCTAGATCATATTATATGTTGTTTTATGCTATTCTAAAACCAAAGATATCCAATAGAGGGCTCGGAATTCCAAATTATTTGATGCAAGTGTTTGATGCTCTATTAATTTTCTTTATGTAATCATACCTATATGACATTTCCTCCTTGCGAGTACCCAAGTTATGATAAGACAGAAGGGTGAAAATGCATTAAGCTATTAAGACATTAGTGTGTCATACCTTCAGGCATTTGACTGAAAAATCTCTTGTTAGTATCTTACAGAGTTTCATGTAGGTAGTAGGTTTCAGAATGTTTAATCACTGCTTTTTGTTGCTGTAGATACGACTTGCTGAGCATGAACATGAGCTGATTGAAATGAATTCGAACAGCGAGAAGTTGCAGCAGACGTATAATGAGCTTCTGGAATTTAAGATGGTCTTGCAGAAGGTACTCATGCTTGCTTTTCCGAATAGATTTTATATTCTTCAACTATGTGTTACAACAAACGCAGCATGATTTTGGTCTAGGAATGCGCCAGTTATTCTCCTTGATGTTTAAACTCTATATAGTGTTAAAGCAACCTTTCTTTGTCTATCAATCTACTATCTTTTACTGTGGTTTCAGTTTTTGTATCTGGTTTCTAATGAATAATGTTGTTAGAATATTTCCTTGGTTAAAAAGCTTCTGATTTGTTGCAGTTTTTTTAGACTGTTATTCTGATGAATACCACTTGTCCACCTGCCCTTAATTTATAAGTCCTGCTTGAGATAAATAGATTAAGGTGGCTCTTTGAAATAAGGGAATTGAAATACAGCGCAGGATGAGATGTCCACTCTCTGTAGTTATGTGGAGAAGAATTATGGAACTTTTAGTTGAAAAACCACTATGGCATACATAATTGATTTGTGAAGCTACACATTGATAATGGATATCCTCTTGTATATATTGAGAAATACCTAAACAAAAGAGTTACTTTGCTCCAGATTAAACCCAAACAAAGAGCGTGTTCATCGGAATCTTAGCATGATGATCTCTTCAATGGTAATTAGTAGAAACGAGTTATGTAGTCAGTGTGTGTATCTGTTTTACTATAGTTGCATCATATTGACTTTTTACGTTGTTCTCTTATTAACTTAGACCACATATAGTTACTCATATAGTCATATGTAACAATTAATGTCATTATTTTATTTGTTGTTGGGTTAATCTCTTTATGTTATTAAAATTTAGTTTTTTATGAAGATTTTTTGCTGTTGAAGTAGTGCATTGGTATACATGAATGTTTAAAATGATGCGATCATGTGACTATTGTGAAATGAGAAAAATTCAATAATAAGGGCTACTTGTAGTTTAAAAAGGAGTATTGTATATAATTAAAGGGGCGTTGCAAGAAATGGTGAACATGTCCAAAGCATATGATCAGTGTATAAAAAGGCACGCCTAGGCGCTAGGGAATAAGGGTAGATGTTTTTTTTTTGGCTCTAGGTGAGGCTAGGGCTGACAATCGGGTTGGGTTTGGGTTGTTGACATGTTTACATAAACAGGTCAACAGTTGAACCCGACCTGTTTACATAAACGAGTCACAAAGTTGTACGTGAACCTGACATAGTGACGAACTCGACCCGATTTGATCAGTTTTTTCATTTATTTTTTTGAAAGAATTGTTTAACTGGTTAATTTGGGGAAAATTAAAATAGATTATAGTAAAAACACATACTCAAATTTTAGAGTAAGGATATAGTAATAGAGAATTTAATACTTAAAATGAGACAAACCCTAGAAATTGGGGATTATTGAAAGACTAAATTAAATAAGTAAACAAAGAGGGGGCACAAGACTTTATCACACAAAGATAAATCGGAAAAAAGGGGAAAAATGAACTGATTAAACATTTTCAATTAAACGACATAGTTGTAAAAAAAAAAAATAAAAAAATAAAAAATAAAAATAAACGGCATAGTTGTAAAAAGACTGAAATTAACAAGTAAATTAATAAATAAGCCGAGGAAGATTAACAAGTTTGAATCTACTATGAATCAACAATGAATGAAACGAAGAGGGTGGAGAGAGGAGAGAGTAAAGAGAAGGAAGGAAAGTGGTTGTGTGTTAATTTCAGGTCGGGGGTTAACCCAATTAGACAAACTGTTTGAAAATCTCAATGAAAGCCCATTTATTTCGGGTTGGGTTCGGTCGGGTTGTCGGGTCTGGTTAACTTTTGCCAGCCCTAGGTGAGGCGCATTCAAAGAAGCGCATTTGAGACGCATATAAGCAAATTTCTTGGAATATGTTCCAAGTTAACAAAGGGTATTGTATGTAATTAAAGGGGTATGCTAGTTTTTGTGAACATGTTCCAAGCATACGAATAATCACAATAGCTGAAGCTCTAGGTGGTAATGGATATATGATGTATCTCTCCTCTTCAAGGCAATCACAAAACTCATGATAAGTTGAAAACAAAGGTAAGGGGTTGTATTTTTTATGTCTATAACAGTCTTAAGTTTGTGCTTAAAATATGATATTAACAATGAAAATATTGTTGTTTACTTTGAAGTTGAATCTAATTCAATCACGATAAAAGAGCTCTTGTTATTTTGCTTGTATTAGAAATATATGTCCATCTTGTTCCTTTGATTGAACACTATACCCATTTTATAAGGAGCTTAATTTGATTTAAAAGGAGGTCCTATTTTTCAAAGAAAAAAAAAGAGCCTGCTCCTAGAATAAGAAATTGAGAAGCGAAGAAAAATGTCTGAAGTAGACTCACTGTTTGCCCTTAATAACCATCTGTCTCCCTCTGGAAAAATGTTCTCAATTATTTAAATTATGCTGATTTCCCACAGGGAGTTGTTTTATTCAGTCAATGTATAGGGCTGACCTTTTGTGTAGACAGGGGTTAGTTGTGTACTAAAGATTTTTTTTTCCATGTAGAGGTTAATGTCTTTATAACGTGATTAACAATGATGCATAAGCTGTCAAGACATGCAAATTATACGACTTAAATTGATGAGTTAAAATATGCTTGCAAAGTGCTAGTTAATGCCCCTTTTGGAAAATATTATATATCTATTTATTTTTTATTTTTATTCTATTTTTATCAATCAGGCCGGATCCTTCCTTGTACCAGGAAAGAGTCCTGCTGTTGCAGAAGAAGTGGAATTAGATGAGAATATTCATTCAAGTGATGATTATGCTGATACAGCATCTTTATTGGAACAGGTAACTGTGTGCCTTCTTTAAACATTCTTTACTTGTTGCTATATTTCTGATGTAAGAGAACCAATTTGCCAGGAGATGCGTGGAACACCAGTACAATCTGGTGTCCGGTGTATGTGTGGAATCATATGTAAATCTAAGGCTCTTAAATTTGAGAGGATGTTGTTTCGTGCCACAAGAGGCAACTTGCTTTTTAATCAGGCCCCAACTGATGTTTATATTTCAGATCCTACATCATCCGAAATGGTCAGTATCATAGATTGTTCTTGTAGCTAATATTTTTTCTTTGTATTATGTATTATCGCATTTCAAAAAAAAAAAAAAAACTTTACAACCATATCTGATTTGGTAATGTTCTACTTTTTTCTGTTTTTGGAAACATTTACATTTGGAACTGTAGAAGTCTCTCTACTCAATCTTCGGCTTTATTGGTAGCAAGTTTTAGGAAAAATTGACAAAAATAATCCTAACTTTCACCGATTCGCTCAAAATAATCCCAACTTTGAATTAATTTTAAATAATCCGAACTTTAAGGGTAATTCGCTCAAAATGGTCCCAACCGGTCACCTAACCTATTATAACAGGTTAAGGTGACACGTGTCACCATGTAATTGGTTGAGGAAAAAAATTAAAAATATCTTAATAATATTTTTTAAAAAAGAAAAACTTTAAAAATTAAAAAACAAACCCAGCACCCCACGACCACCCTCTTTACCATTAGCCACGACCCCCTCCCGAAACCCCCCATCACTGCCGGCACCTAGACACCTCTCCTCCGCGCCGGCGGCGCCGTCTCCTACCCCCTGTAACTCGGTACCTGCACACCAAACACCGAGCCGCACTACACAATCCAATCACCACTATACACCGTCAGCTCCGCCTCGACCAGCACCAACCCACAAACACACATCAACCACAACCAGCACGAAACCACCTTGCAGCAGCCCCGCAACAACAAACACCACACAACTCCTTCGCCTTTCCCACGCAATGGCTGCCCACACACCACCAACCGCAACCCCCCTGCTTCAGCCACCAATTCACCACCAATTCGCCGCCACTTCGCCGTCAACATTAGCAATTCGACTCCAACAATCATCAATTCACCACCAATTACATCAATTCGGGACTACAACATCTTCAATCTTTGAATTGTGCTCCAATTAGAAATACCCAAATGGTGTGTGACGAACCAACATAAAAATGCAATTTTGCATTTTGGGTTTAGATTTGGAGGTTCACGGTGGGGGTTTAGGGGGAAAAGACGCCGAAAAAGTCGCCGTATAAGGCAGAGCCGGCGGTTGGGGAGGGGATTTGGGTTAGGCCGGTGGGAGGAGGGACGCCGGAGTGTCGAACTTGGGTGGTGGTGGGGTTGTGGTTGGGGTTGGGGTTGGGTGTTCTTTTTTTTTTTGTTAAATTTATTTTTAGCCATTCACATAGTGACATGTGTCACTTAAACCCAAAAAAAAAAAAATATTACCTCTTTAACAGGTGACCGGTCACTTAAGACCATTTTGAGCAAATACTCCCTAAAGTTCGGATTATTTAGAAAAATCCAAAATTGGGATTATTTTTATCAATTTTTCCTAAGTTTTATAGTGGTTGATTGTTGTTACTGCAGGTTGAGAAAACAGTTTTTGTTGTATTCTTCTCTGGAGAGCAAGCGAGAATGAAAATTTTGAAAATTTGTGAAGCATTTGCTGCTAATTGCTATCCTGTTCCAGAAGAAATTAACAAACAAAGGCAAATTATTAAAGAAGTGAGTCTTGCCGATTTCCTATTATAGCTCCCCCCCCCCCCCCCCTTTTTTTTCTTTTTCTTTGGCAGACAACTTCAGCTTCTGTTTTCTATTGAGACCTGGCTCTTTATGTGTGATTTTTTTTTCATCTTAAAAATGTATTATTAGAGTAGGGGCCTAAAAATTCAACAGCTATCCATGGTGCAAGATCATAACAACTACTAAACGCATCAGCTAGGTTGATAAAGCAAGTTTTGAGTTGGGATTTGTTTGTGGACGAATGGATGTAGATGAGTTGCAGGTCAAGTGATGTTAAATTTTTACTGTACTAATGCTTAATTGTAATCCAAAATTTCCATTAATGGTAAAAGTGACTATAATGGATAGTTTCTGCTAATTATATTTAAAAGTTGAGCTTTTACTCTAGAAATCATGGTTTGAATTGACCTTTTAATATATTATCCTATTTCTAATATGTACCGTAATTATTTTCGGTCAATCTACATGAAATTTTTGACTTCAATTAATATTTATTGTACATCAAACTAATGAAATAACCTTGACCTCTCAACCCAACATGTGATCAAGACTGACCTGTTCAGGTTATTCTTGTGCAGCCAATTTTGACTTGTGGGCCATGTATCCATGATATATACCATACTCAGCTCAGTTCCTAGTTGGGTTGTATTTATCTTTTTATTTATAATAGCTGCTTAATCAACAAAATTGCTCTAAGTTATCTCTAGACATGCTCACTAATGAACAACACCCTCCCTCCCCCAACGAAAATATTATTTTGAATGTCTTGCTCCTTACCTTCCTTTTCCGATGTACTTCATTTGGAATTGCTCTTAGTTTAACGAGGATGGATTGCATGGATCTTCTTTTCCCCTTCCACAAAAAATGTACCATACTTATAAGTAGCAGCAGCTCTATGAAAAAGACATGTTATTATTTCTTTGCATGCTTGCTCAAACTTATTTTTAGGAATTTTGTTTGGTTTTCAATTCTCGGGAAGTTGTTAGCAATGATTGATATAAGTGGTTGAAAGTTCCCTTCGTTTTATTTATAAGGAAATTAAGTTCTGAAATGGACCATTTGATTGATTTTCCTTTTAATGAGATGTTCATTTGTTACATGAAGTTACAAAGTCCTAAACCACCTCTCTCTAGTTGGCCTATGGACTTGAATCTGCCAATTATTATTCCATTACTTCCAATTATATTATTAATTTATAATTGAGGCATTCTTTATTTTGTTCGATCTTATGTTTGGGAGACTAAATGTAAGTTATTACCAGGAAGATGACCCCTTTGATCCATGGTAATGTACTTGGTTACTTTCTAAAATTGAAATTAGCTTTCCTAATATGATTTTCTATTATGGTATTAAATGTTGGCTGCATCACCACATCACAATTGCTTTATAGAGGACTTTAAACTTACCCCCATCAATATATAGACTGCAACTGCTGATTACCACCCACATTACCCACCAAGAAACCATGTTTTCCAAGCAGTTCCTAAACATGATGGTTGAATATGATTGTTGTCTTTTTAACCCTGAACCATCCAATAGTGAAAAGGGGTCATAATAAATAATGTAGGCTGTTGACATGCTTTCAGGTTTCCTCACGGTTGGCTGAATTGGAAGCCACACTTGATGCTGGGATGCGTCACCGCAACAAAGCCCTTGCTGATGTTGCCTTTCACCTAACAAGATGGATGAATTTGGTAATATATGTTGACATTTCTAGATCTGCGTAGATTACTGCTTTGATTTTGGATTCTCCACTTCTTGGTGGCATGAAAGTGTTTATAATCAGTTTGGATTGTGTCATTTGCTGGCCATGTTTATGATTTATGTGATAGTGGACTTCTTGGATGGAAAACAATAGAATATTAATCAAGATTAAGCTCAACTCAATAATGAGGGAAGACTACTTAATTTGGATGGAGTAAAAATAATATATACAAATTGGGTTTACAAGAGTTTGCTTAACCTCCTTTCTTTAATGATTTGCACATTTGCACCATATTTTACATGATTTGTACAATCTACTCGGCTAAAATCTCATGATTTATTTATAAAGAAATAACGTAATCATGTAAAAATCTTATTGGATCATCTCGATGTAAAAAAAGAGTATGACACTTGCTAATGTGAATGGAGAAGTTACATTTTATTTACTAAACAAGAAAAGTCTGATGCTTGACTCCAGCTATTCGAATAAAGCAACTTGGAACTCTTGACATGAGAAAATAAGAGCAAGTTTAGCCCCAAGTCTTAAGACTTGGGGCGACATCATCATCTTGAGTCTTAAGACTTATGTTTAAGACTTCCCCCATTTTTCTTCTTAAATCTCAAGCAAGTCTTAAGTCGAGTCTTGAAATTCCAAGACTCAACTTAAGACTTGAGATTGGGACCCACCTCAAATTTATTATTATTATTATATATTTTTTTTAACACTTTTCTACATATAATAAGTCATATATTTGATTCTTAGGGCTAAAGTGATAAATTTGGGTAAGTCTTAGTGAGTCTTAACAACAATTTGATTTTCAACGAGGACCACCAAAAATGATGTCACATCCAAGTCTTAAGACTACAAAAGCTGCTGTATTATATAAGTTCATCACTAAGTTGCTAGCAGACCCAATTTTCTCACTTCAACAATCCAGCCTTTTGTTATCCTTGGTTTTTCACAGGAACATCATTATTTAAACGAGGTTGCATCCATCCAAACTGGGCTAAGTGTCAAATAGAAAGAACTCAAGCACACCTGGTGTTTGCAGTCCTCTTAATTTTTGTTGCCTTTTAATTTCTAATGTCAGAGTGAAATGTTCATAGGTAAGAAGGGAGAAAGCTGTATATGATACCCTGAACATGCTGAATTTTGACGTGACAAAAAAATGCCTTGTTGGAGAAGGTTGGTGTCCAATATCTGAAAAAAGTCAGGTAATACCCTCTTTTATCAATGTACAATATACTATTGGAAATGTTTTTCAAATTCTTTTGAAGTAAATTTTATCTCCCAATTAATATTCAGAATTTATGATTCCCAGATTCAGGAGGCTCTTCAGCGTGCAACATTTCACAGTAATTCTCAGGTAGGTGTAATATTTCATGCTATGGATTCAGTGGAATCTCCTCCAACGTACTTCAAAACCAACCATTTCACAAATTCATTTCAAGAAATCGTTGATGCGTATGGGTGAGTTTAACTCTATCTTCTTGTTATCAAAGGTCCTAGTGTCCTACACTCCATTCTACTTACCATTAAACATTTTTTCTCATGAAGTCTGAAAAGAAATAAAGCTTTTACTTTTATATTTTATGTGTAAGAGTAACATCTCAAATGTATGATTTCATATTGTTGGGTGTAATGGGTTTGTCCAACTATCTTTGTTTCCAACGATGCTCATCTTCTAGGGTAAACCTTGGACTTATAAACTCATGGGAGTTATGTATTTATAGATACCACATGTACAAAAAGTAAACATTAAACACAATGACAGGATAGTTCATCAAGAACAAAGAAATTTGGATATTCATGTACCACGAGGTTCTCCATTATTATATTATAATAACTATTAAGTTAGGCGTTCTAATTGTTGGAAGTGTAGAGGAACAATAGGATTTTTTTAATTTTTTTTTAAAAAAAATTTAATTTGTTTACAACTTGACATTGTCGAGAGTAAGATCTAGTATTGTATTATACCTTTCTGCCTTCCATTTTACTTGCAACACTAAAATTTTACACTTGCCAATCCACAATTTAAACTATTAAAAGCTTTGGTTGTGTACTGATAAAAATTATTAAAATTTAATTTTAATAAAGTACAAATTGAGACGAATCCGACAAAATCCCGCGTGACTATATATTTTATCCCTCTACATTAGTTTATTCCCCGTGACAAGATCTGCAATTAATGGTTCATCTTCCTTCTCATTCCTCGCTCTTTCTCATTCTTATTTTATTTCACCTCTATACATTAGTTTATATAATCCCACCGTGTTAAAAAACTCCTTCCATGTATCTCTCACCTTTTGTAATGATTTATAATTGTACTTGCATTTGTTTTGCGCCTTTTGCTTATGCTATGTAATCTAACTATTGGTTTGTATTGAAGGTGCTAATGATGTAATTAGTCTCAAAGTTAGCTCATTAAACTTGTAAAATGAAAATTTGAGCTCCCTTGAAGGATGATGAATTAATATACTACCTCCGTTTCTTATTATTTGCAACGATTAGACATTTTTCCTCTCTGCTTTATGTCAAATCGTTGCAAATAATATGAAACGGAGGTAGTATAAAGGTGAGAGATAGATGGGTAAATAAGGGGCAAATCTGGTTATCCTTAGAAAAGTGTTTTAGTAAGTGGTTTTAGTCAAAGGTAAAAAAAAAAAAAAAAAAAAAAAAGTAATAATCACTTTCTCCGTTTTCTTTTATTTGCAACACAACCTTTGAACACACTTTTTTTAGGAGTTGATTAGCGTAGGTAAATGAACGACTTTATCAAAATAATTTTAATACCGGATTAGAGGAGGGATAGGTTCTCCGTGTGTAAAATATTTTGATTTATTTGCCCTTTTACATTACTTAATATCTTTCTCAAAGTGTGTGCCATGAAGGTGTGTTGCTATTAAAAGAAAATAAAGTACATTACAAGTTGATTTTCCATAAAAGGTATATTTACATGCGTGTATGCTTACATGCATGCACACATTCATGTTCACATATCATGTGCACACAAACACACATGTGACTTAGATGTTTGAAGAAAAAAATCTTTTAAATTGCACTTTACTCCTAGCACTTCTAGCCTTAAATTAAACAAGCATATACATTTATTACTCGATCTTTTGGCTGTCGTTCGATGTGTAATACACATAAAGTAGTTTTCCTTGATTGAATAACCTATGTTGCTCGGACTCTTCATTTGTGTTGATATTCGACACTCGGACATGGATATGACACTTGCCAATAAATGGGTAGACATTAGACTTATCTCTGACACGACAAGGCAACATGACTGATACTGACACAACAAAAACACGAAGTTACTGAGAGAAAACATGAGGCTGACACGACACGACACGAAACCAACCCGAAAATGACCCGTTTTGATAATTTAGTCAAATTATGCAATAATCCTACATAAAACATAGTTTTTGAAATTTTGTTAACAACACAAAATGGATACGAGACCAAAGAGTGACTTAGATATCAAAAAGTGACAAAATTTTCTTCTTTTTTCTCTACAATGGTCAATTAGTGACACAAAGTGTGACTTATTTTGCAGTGTTGCTGGATATCAAGAAGCCAATCCTGCAGTTTATACTGTTGTCACTTTTCCATTCTTGTTTGCGGTTATGTTCGGGGACTGGGGTCATGGAATCTGCCTGCTGATGTTAGCATTATTCCTCATAGCCCGAGAAGGCAAGCTTAGTTTGCAGGTACAACCTTTTCTCTAGCATTTTGTTGGGCACTGTTCATTTTGGTGATTTTCTCTGTCGCCTCCTATGTGTTTAATTTTTCATCATTGACTGTTTACTTTTCTTCTTCAAAAGAATCTGCATAGTCATTGAAGAAATTTGTCTTGCCATAACACACATATGATATATCTAAATCCTTGTTGATGATCTAAAAGATATTTCCTTGATGAGGTCCTACAAATTGTCTATAGTCACAATAGGGCAATCAGGCAGACATTATCTTCCTAAACATTTCACTCTTTTTTTTTTTAATTTTTTTTTAACACACATGAAATATCTAAATCCTTTTAGATTATCTAAAAGACATATCTTTGATTAGGTCCTACAAACTGTCCACTGTTACATTAAGGCCAGGCAGACAGGTCATCTTCCTTATAGGACCTAAACAGTTCACCTTTTTTTCAAAAAAAAAAAAAAAAAAAAAAAAAATTGTTATTATATGAAACATCAGTATTTAGATGATTTACATGTGTTCTTATCTTTATTTAATAAAATCAACCAGTTTAATTTGCATTATTTTATTAGATTTTCATGTTTAAGGGAAAATGATATACTTCCTCTGTTTTTTTTAGTTGACACCTTTCTATTATCTCGCTTGCCAATACATATTTTTAACGATTCAAATCTCTAATTATCAACAAAGTAAAATTATAAAAAGTAAATATTAATAAAATATACATTGATACGATTCAAACAAGATCTCACATGAATATGTTTTATCGCATATATAAAACACAAAAGCAAGTCAAAGCGTGTTGTGTGAATAGTGTAAAAGTCAAACGGTGTCAACTAAAAAAAACGGAGGAAGTATTGATTAGGCTCACATTCTTCATCCTAGATGTTTTACCATTTTTTTCCTGCTTTGGTTATATGTGATGCCTAGTAGTGATAGTGCATAGGTTGTTTTGCTCTGTGACTTCATGTTAGTCTTTTTAGGATAGTTGCTCATCCCAGTAAAGTCCAAGGCATTTTATTGGGATTTGCTTAGTATATCCTAGTCAACAATGATGGTGGTAATTAATGTTTATTAAAATCTTGTTTGGATAATTTTCCTGTAACAGTGTGTTTGGATAGGATGTTTTGGAGGGAAAGTGATTATAGTGAGGGATTTTACTTCCCTCGTTTTTGTATGATTTGGTCGAGAAGGGAAAGGAATTGGGGGGATGCCTCCAATTATGTGATGGACCCAAGTCAACCGACCCCATGATTAGAATGAAGGCTTTGATTGTTGTTGTTGTTGTTGTTGTTGTTGTTGTTGTTATGAGTTGACATGTAAATCTTGATTACATATGTTTGGCACTTTAAGGTTTATTAATCCTTTTAGGTCTTATACTACCTCCGTTTCATAAAATCTGCAACAAACGGGCTTGCACAATTCCCAAGGCAAAATTTCTTAAGCAAAGATTAGTAAACAAAAGGGGATGTGATTAATTGGATGGGAGAGAAAATAACCCACCCAAAACCCAGCCAGCCAACACACACCACCACCACACCACCGACACAACTAGTCCACTGCACTAGACCACCGACACCACCAGACCACTAGCACCACCACCAGACCACCAACGAACGAAGCCCCACCTCACCACCACCAATCAACTTGCACCACAACCCTAAACCCATCCAACCAACTCACACCACCACCAAAAACCCACCCAACCACCAACGAACCAAAACCCCAACTCACCACCAAAGAACCAAAACCCCCACTTACCACCACCAACGAACCCACCCAGTCGCACGACCACCAAATCGCAAACCCCCAAATCCAACCAAATCGCACGACCCCCAAATCCAACCAAATCGTAGACGACGACTTTGAAAATGGTGAAAGAGGCGGCGAACTGGTAGGGTAACGTGAAAGGGGTGAACGACGGCGATTTTGAACCGGAAAACTGAGGTAGCTGCGGGTGGTTGTGGTTTCGTGCTGTTAGTGGGAAACAAAGAGATTTGATCTGAGTGGTGGTGGTGGTTTCGTGCTGTTGGTGGTGGTTTCGTGCTGTTGGTGATGGTTCAGAGGGAGGAGAGAGAAAAAAATGGTGATGTTGGTGGTGGATGTGGGTTGTGAGGGAGGAGAGAGAATGTGGGTTAGGGTTTTAATTATAGATAAATTAATTTGGGTTAAAGAGTTAATATGTTATTTATTATAGTTAAGTAAAATTTAGTAAGGGTATAGTGGCAATTTCACACAAAAAAATTTACTAAAAGAGGAAACTATTGGTTTGTTGCACATAATGTGTAGTTTCCGTTTTGGGAATTTGTTGCAGATTTTATGAAACGGAGGTACTATTAATTATAACCTATTTGTAAGAATAAGGTTGTTGATGCCTAGAGGCTGGAGTTATATTTTCCTCCTATTTTGTGGTATGTTTTACGTGTAAATAGTCACAGGAGCAGTACCTTTTTCTGTGTTGAATATGAGTTTCCACTTCTTGTTATTGGTGTAGACTGCTTAAATTTTTCTTTCTAATTTTACAATTCTCTTTACCATTTTTCTCTGTTTTTCTGCGACTTCCTCTTATCCCTAGTTCATAATTCTTTAATAATTTTTTACTTGCAGAAACTTGGCAGCTTTATGGAGATGCTGTTTGGTGGGCGCTATGTGATCCTTCTTATGGCTCTTTTTTCAATTTACTGTGGGCTGATCTACAACGAGTTCTTTTCTGTCCCATTCCATATATTTGGTCAATCTGCGTACAAATGCAGAGATGCAACATGCAGGTAATTGTTATATGTTTGCTGCCCGAGTTGTGGAAAATATGATGAGTTTGGTATGGAAAAGGCCCAATTACAATTAAATATATAGCTAGGTTTGATTTAAAAGGTTATACGGAATTATATTGTATTAATCCAAATTAAATACTTCCTCCGTTTCTTTTTAGTTGACATGTTTCTTTAGTCACGTTTGCCAATGCACTTATTCAATCATTAATATCTTTAATTATCGATAAGCAAAAATTATGAAAAGTTGATATTTTGAAAGTATATAACGTGACGAATCTAACAAGATCCCACATGACTATATTTTTCATTGCGTATAAAGCACAAACACGGTCAAAGGGAGGTGTGTGAATAGTACTAAAGTCAAAACGTGTCAACTAAATAAAAACGGAGGTAGTATAACCTCAAGTTGGATGTCAGTGTCCCACTAACAATGGCTTTGAGAAAAATATAAAATTTGTTGTTAAAGCTTCCTTTGTAGTTATATTTATCAAATATAACGATCTGTTCTTTGTATTGAATGATTATGAATTTGTTGATTACTTAGGGAAACGCAAGTTTAAACCTGACTTGCAAACATGCCTCACTAATGTTCTGGTATCACTCAAGGGGAAAAGTTCCCACTTATACTTATATTTTGTTTTATGATTTCATCAGTGATTCTTCTACTGCTGGTTTAGTCAAATTTCGGGACCCCTACCCTTTTGGTGTAGATCCCAGTTGGCGTGGAAGCCGTTCAGAGCTACCATTTCTTAATTCATTAAAGATGAAGATGTCTATATTGTTGGGTGTGGTGCAAATGAACTTGGGGATCTTATTAAGTTACTTTAATGCAAGGTTCTTTAGCAACTCAGTGGATATAAGGTACTGTCTTTAGCTTCATAATTGGTCTTCAAGTCTCTATGGTTCATGTGAAATGTTCACCAAGGGACTTATTTTGGTTCTTAGGTATCAGTTTTTGCCTCAGATAATATTTCTCAATAGCCTTTTTGGCTATCTTTCGCTCCTAATTATTATCAAGTGGTGCACTGGATCTCGAGCCGACCTCTACCATGTTATGATATATATGTTTCTGAGTCCTTTTGAGGACCTTGGAGAAAATGAGTTATTCTGGGGGCAGAGACCATTACAGGTAATTATTTGAATCATAGCTTTGTTACATCTTAAATGTAGATCTTTCAGATCTTATTAAGTTTGTCATCTGCAGATTTTACTTTTGCTACTGGCCATGGTTGCAGTTCCTTGGATGCTTTTCCCAAAGCCATTTATTTTGAAGAAGCTTCATTCTGAGGTAGCTTGAAGTGCTTATACCTGTTTGATATATTTCTGTCTTTCTCAAAGTCATTTCTTTATTTGTGATATTTTATGCTTGGTTGATGATAAAGAAAAACATTTGAGTGATCTGAGACATTCAGTGCTCTTTAAAGGAATCTAGGCTTACATTTTAGTATGATTCATAGGACTTTATCGAAGACCTCTTTCCTTGTGATGTACTACATTTATGGAAGAGAATTTAATGTGTCATCTGATTTAGTAATCAGGATGATGTCAATTAAGATCTTCTTTATGCTCATTGGCCGTGTCAGCTTCTTTGCTTTGCCTGATGTTTCTGCTTGTCCCTCCTTTTACTATATTGCTTCACAGAGATTCCAAGGGCGTATGTATGGAATACTTCACTCCACTGAAATGGATCTTGATGTGGAGCCTGACTCTGCACGACAACTCCATCATGAGGATTTCAATTTTAGTGAGATATTTGTGCATCAATTAATACACTCCATAGAGTTTGTCTTGGGTGCTGTTTCGAACACAGCATCATATCTACGTCTTTGGGCTTTGAGGTACGTGATGTTTTTCATTTCTTAATGCTTTGCAGCTGTTTAGTCCTGTTCGTCGAACTCATATACTACATTGACCATGGTGCCATATTGACAGCTTGGCTCACTCAGAATTATCAACCGTGTTCTATGAGAAGGTCCTGCTCCTTGCCTGGGGGTGAGTGTTCATGGTCAATTTATCTTACTACTTCCCCCCCCCCCCCCTACCGCCCCTCCCCCCCTCTCCCCCCCACCTCAGAGAGAAAAAAGAAATGAACGAAAGGTAGTGAAACCCACTGTTTCATACTTGTTGGGTAGTTGGGCTGTGTGTTTCATTATGTTTTAGAAGTTGAACAGTAAATAATAAACGTTAACTAAACTTCATTACTACTTTTTGTGCAAGCATATAAAGGGACATGTTAACTGAAATCAACAAGGTAATTGATCTTCATCTAAAATATATTCTTAACAAGTAGTTGATCTTCATCATTATTATTATTATTATTATTATTATTATGGTGTGATATCCTTTTTATTTAAATTTATTTTTCCATTAGGCTTTTTGCATAAAGCTTGTTTTCTGCAATAGATCTAATATAAGAAAAGATATCCGTCATGCTTTTGTTTGATTTTTGTGTTTGATAGTTGTTATATCTTCAGGTACGAGAATCTTGTTATCCGGTTGGTGGGGCTAGCTGTTTTTGCCTTTGCAACTGCTTTCATATTGCTTATGATGGAGAGTCTTAGTGCATTTTTGCATGCTTTGAGGCTTCATTGGGTGGAATTTCAAAACAAGTTTTACCATGGCGATGGTTATAAATTTAAACCTTTTTCCTTCGCCATACTAACAGATGAGGATGATTAGTCAACTTTTTGTAAAGTTTGATTCTTGTAGAGATTAGTAATTTAGTATAGTGAGAAAACCAGCTGATGCTCCCAAGTCCCTACATAAGCTTGAGTGGGCCATTCGAAAACAAGTTTCTCTGGCTGACGTGGAAGTCCTTTCAGGTGACATTTTCTGCATATTTACAAAAAGTGGACCTCACAATATACATTCTTCTATTTGATCATAACAGTGTTTCTTACAGTTGTGTCAAACCCAGGAAATGAGATCATCTTCTGTTAACACCCGAAAAAAAAAAAAAAAAGAGATATTGAGCTAATAGGGATTTTTGTAAAGATAGATATCTTATAACCATGTAGCTTTAAGAATAGATTTACTTCTTGTTTTGGATCGTGAACATTTTATTCAGAGCTATAAACTGGAGAGCTGTTTACAAGCCTCTAAATTATCATATAAATTTATTTTTTTGTATCATAATAATTTTTTGGAGCTAAAGAATTAGTTCAAAATGTACCATATCCATGGTTTATAATATATTCTAATCAATTAAATTAATATACTTCAGAATCTAATATAATTTTATTACTGTGTGACTGTGTGTAGATCTGTTAATCAGGTCGGGTCACGAGTCATTTCAGACAGGGTCAAGAAATGTTTTTCACTAATATTATTATTATTAGTCATTACATGTCTACAAGTTTAAATCGTTACAAAAATACGTCAATTCCTAACTAATTTTGTATCAATGATATATTTTAAAATTTGACATATAGATTAAAATATATCTTAAAATTTAATAAACAATCCGGGCATCGCACGGGCACTAAACTAGTTATAATATAAAATAAAAGTTTTGTTTTAAAAAAAATTACAATTTTAATAAAATACAGTTAAATCGCACCGCAACAAACCGCATCTTGCGGTTTGGTTTGGTGCGGTTTTTTTGAAAGTGCGGTTTGAAAAAATTATAAACTGCACTTTTGCGGTTTGGTGCGGTTTATGATCCAAACTGCACCGCGAACATCCCTACTCCCCACCTCCGCAATTTCTCCTTCCACCTTTTCTACTCTTCGTCGGAATCCAAACCTCTGATGTGTCTATTTTATATAGTATTTTACCCCCGTCCCTTGGTCATAATTAGTGGTGTTTTTGGCTCTTTAGAGCCACTTTTATTACTAATTGGTGTTTTCTAGTGTTTTCGTAGATTTGGTTGACTTTTGCAGGGATTTATACTTTTTGAGTATTTTTCCGAGATATTTTGGAGCAATCACGAACATTGGAGAAGCACGACCAGATTTTATAGCCTAGAGCCGGTTAGAGCCATCAAACCGGTGATTAAGGGCTTGGTATGTGTGATACCGGGGCATTTGGACCGAGTATTTAAGAACCAAAGAAGAAACCCAGATTGGCCCAAAGAATTGGAGCCCAATCGTAGTCCAAATAGTGGCCCAAGAGAGCCGCCCGGCCAAAAAGGCTGGCGCCCGGAGGCGCGCCCGGCCGGGCGGGAGAAGCAAAGGTCAGCGCCCAGCCAAAAAGGCTGGCGCCCGGCCGGGCGAGAGAAGCAAAGGCTGGCGCCCGAAGGCGCGCCCAATCGGGCGGTGCCTCGCCCGATCGGGCGCGTGTATTTCTTAGGAGATGTTTAACGTAGTTTTAATTTGTTTTAATTTAGGATTTTGTACGGAGTATAAATACTCCTCCGTAATACGATTTTAGTATCTTCTCTTCTTCTCCTCTTTACTCTTTCTTTACTCTCTTAATTATTCTCTTAGAATTGTCTCTCTAAACCTTTGTTCTTAATCTACTCTTAATTCCAGATTACTTTTTGGTAACGATTTCTCTTCCCTTAATCTTAGTTGTTTATTTTATTCCTTTCATCCTGATTTATTTTATTGCTTTGATTTGTTTAGTTTCTATTATGTGTGAGTAGTTTTATTTCTAGGGTTTATGGGGATCTAATAAATAATATGAAGGGGTAATTTATTGTTGTTAATTATCAATGCTAGATTAATTTCCTATTGATTGATTTAATGCTCTGTGACTAGATTAGGCCTATCTTTTATGCATGAGTTTGACAATATTGATTCAAGATGCGAGAGATGAGAATTGATGTTTAGGTCTAGTTTCAATAGGCAGATTAATTTATAAATGGTTAAGTCGAGATTCGAGAGATGAGATTTAATACCGGTAGATTAATTATGTGATTGTAATACGTAGCGAAAGCCCTTTACAATCTGGTTAATTGATGCATTGATGATTGACTATTATTGATTGTTGGTATTGCAAGATAATTTCTTATTGAATTGTTTTAACGTTTTACAATTGCGGCTTGTAAAAGTATAGCAATGTTAAATTGATGAATCGAGCAGATGTTAATTTGATATTAAAGGCTATTTTCAATAAGAACTTAGATCTAGTAAATTGCGAGAGCCTGTTAGATTTATGTTGATTAGTAAATTGCGAGAGCCTGTTAATCATGTTATTTATGCAATGTCAATGATTGATTACTATGTTTTACCCTGGAGTATTATTTATTGGTGAACCTATGTCCTAGAATATTGTTTTCTCCCTATTCCTATTCTTTGTAGTTTAGTCTCATACTCAAATATAAATATTGGTTACTTAGATAATTTAGATTATAATAATTAATTTGGAGTAAAAAGACTTGTTTCCCTGTGGAGATCGACCCTACTTCCCTATCTACTTTAGTTAGAGGATTTAGGTATTTACTTTTGATTAGGGGATACGACTTTACCCTGTCAACCTCGAAGTTTTCCCTAAAACATTTGTTGAAATTTGCTAGTATCCTCGTCTACGTCCGACAAAACGGTGATGTTTTGGTTCAAAATTGAGGTCAGACTATGCTCGCCAATGAACCGCGACTCCCAAAATTTTTTGATGAGTTTGTCTCATAAACGACAGTATACGGTCTAACAACACCGGATATATGGTATCTGAAGATGTCACCGGGAAGAGGAGAAGGCTTGCCGACAAAATTAGGGAAGCGAAGAGAAGTCTACCTTGTACTGGAACACCCAGATGCCGTTCACGGTGGTAATTCGCTGGGTATTTATGATTCCAGCAAGATAATGACGGTAAATTGGAGTGGTTTCGGGGTTGCAAGCCCGAGCCATATGGAAGAAGGGAGAAAAACTCTATGAATTTGCGTGAAAATTTTGAAAATTAAGGGTTATAGCAGAGAGAAATACTGGGTTGGTGAAAAAAAGTCGTTCACCATTGACAATTCCTTTCTCCTTTTGTCCTCTGTTCACCAGAAGAGTTTCTAAAAAACGGGGTTTAATTATCATAAAATTTAGTATCAGAAAATATTTCTGATACTAAAAACGTTAATAGTATCGGATAATTTTTTTTCTGACACTACTTTCTAGTTGTTTACACAAACTAAGGGCCTGTTCTCATTGACTGAACGCAGCTGAACTAAACTAAACTGAATTGAAATGAATATTTTATAAGAGAAGGAAATTAGGAGCTGAACTGAACTGAATTGAACTGAGCTGAACTGAACTGAACAAAACTGAACTAAATTTCAACGTAAGAGAACAGGCCCTAAGTATTAGACTTTGTTATAGTGTCGGAAATTTTTTTATCCGATACAAATGAAATATTAGTATCAGATACATTCCGATACTAATAGTTCTTTTACTATAAAAAATAATTCTGTTACAAGTACACACTTTTTGTAACAATTCTTTCCGATACTAAAGCCAGTTTTTTTTTTTTTTTTTGTTAAAAGAATAGCAACTAAAGCCAGTTAGCAACTTAGCATTTTAGCACATTTCAACTTTGGCGGTACAACAAAATTTCAGGGTTGGCAATTTGGCGGTATATTAAAATTTCAGGAAAGTTCAAAATCAGTTAGCGCACAACTTTATTTATTTTTAGGTTTTTTTTTTAATAATATTGCTCTCCATCCCTCTTTCCGATACCAAAGACCAATTTTCTAGTAGTATTCGTTCCAATTTCCACACTGACAATTCCTTCCTCTGTTAACCTCACTTCTGGTCAGCCACCTTCGACCCAAAATACCCATAAAATTTACATTATTTGGGTCAACAGAACCCACAAAACCATCAAGCTGCTGAATTAGATCGAATGCAGCTTGCTGTAGATTTAGGAGGGTATGTGGAGACAGCAGAGTCATTAGAAATTTCAGAATTACAAGAGGAAGTTACCGAGGTATACAACTTTGACTCTTTGTGTGCCTTGGGGTTTCGGAATATTTACTTTTTTATGCTCTTGAATACATTCTATGTTCTGTAATGTCTTCTGATGCAGTGATGCATATATATCATGATTACTGGCAGCCTACATATGTATAGAGTATTCTATAGTATAGGCTGGTGTGCTAGGTTGCGCCGTTGTGGAATTAATTTGTGTACGGTTGTTTTAGCACTGAATTTCTGGATTTACATCTCATTTATCAATGCAAGAGCATCGTAAGTAAATATTCATTGGCTAAGGTGGTTCATGGGTTCAATCCCTTTGACCAACATTTCAGGGGTTTAATCCCTTTGACAACCATTTTAGGGGTATAGTGTTTAGGGTTTAGGGTTTTAGGGTTTAGGGTTTAGGGTTTAGGGTTTTAGGGTTTAGGGTTTAGGGTTTAGGGTTTTAGGGTTTTGGGTTTAGGGTTTAGGGTTTAGGGTTTTAGGGTTTTGGGTTTTAGGGTTTTGGGTTTAGGGTTTTGGGTTTAGGGTTAAGGGTTTTGGGTTAAGGGTTTTTGGGTTTTGGGTTTTGGGTTTTGGGGTTTAGGGTTTTGGGTTTAGGGTTTAGGGTTTAGGGTTTTAGGGTTTAGGGTTTTGGGTTTAGGGTTTAGGGTTTAGGGTTTAGGGTTTAGGGTTTAGGGTTTTAGGGTTTAGGGTTTAGGGTTTAGGGTTTTAGGGTTTAGGGTTTAGGGTTTAGGGTTTAGGGTTTAGGGTTTGGGTTTAGGGTTTAGGGTTTAGGGTTTAGGGTTTAGGGTTTAGGGTTTAGGGTTTAGGGTTTAGGGTTTAGGGTTTAGGGTTTAGGGTTTAGGGTTTAGGGTTTAGGGTTTAGGGTTTAGGGTTTTAGGGTTTAGGGTTTAGGGTTTAGGGTTTAGGGTTTTTAGGGTTTAGGGTTTAGGGTTTAGGGTTTAGGGTTTAGGGTTTAGGGTTTTTTAGGGTTTAGGGTTTAGGGTTTAGGTTTTAGGGTTTAGGGTTTAGGGTTTAGGGTTTTAGGGTTTAGGGTTTAGGGTTTAGGGTTTTAGGGTTTAGGGTTTAGGTTTAGGGTTTAGGGTTTAGGTTTAGGGTTTAGGGTTTAGGGTTTTTAGGGTTTAGGGTTTTAGGGTTTAGGGTTTAGGGTTTAGGGTTTTTTAGGGTTTAGGGTTTTTTTAGGGTTTAGGGTTTAGGGTTTAGGGTTTAGGGTTTTAGGGTTTTTTAGGGTTTAGGGTTTAGGGTTTTTAGGGTTTAGGGTTTAGGGTTTAGGGTTTAGGGTTTAGG